AATAATAAAAAAAAAAAAAATGTATGTTTAAATTTTTGTTGCTCGCTTAACCGTCTTTTCGATTATCCGTTAAAGGTCTGGTCCCGAGACTGACGGTTAGGTTAGGTTAATCGAGGTTCTACTGTACTTGTTTTATTATCAATTAATATTATTTGTAATAACCTAAACATCTTGTTTTCACGAATATATAACCATTAACCAAAATCGTATAACCATAACTGATAATGAATATAGCTAAGTTAATCGCCAAAACACACCTAATATTTTTCATCAGAATTCTGTTAGACTTCCGAGATCTTCAAATGATATAGAATATTAAAAGGCAACCGAATTCAGAACTATTTCATTATATACCGGTCCAATTGTACTAAAAGGAAGACTTAAAAAAATATTTTATTTACATTTCATTAAATTGCATTGTGCTATACAAATTTTAGTAACATCAGTTCTATGTATAGCTAAAAATTAAGTTGCATATAATTTTTTAATTGATTTTGCGACAGAATTTATTTTTCATTATGGGGCGCATTTTATTTTTCGCGATATTAATAGTTTGATTCATCTGCCACATTGAAATAACTTGTTTTGATACAATAAATGAAGAAAATATATAATATTGTGTATAAGCTGTAAGTTAAAATAAAGTATTTCATTTAAAACTGTGCACTGAAGCAGAACAATGGCCGATAAAACGGAACGAATGATTGATCTTGTGCGTTAAATGGCCAGATATTGCACATAAACTTAATCTAAGATGCGTATGTACTTAATTNGTAAGTAAGTAAGTAAGTAAGTAAGTAAGTAAGTAAGTAAGTAAGTTACATTCATTATTATATTTTTATTTATTACTAGCTGACCCGACAGACGTTGTACTGTCTTAATTATAAATATTGAATTCGAATTGGTATAATTAATAAAAAAAATATTTATTATTCTAATACTTTATGATAAACAACATTCATAGTTTTTTTTCTTGCGTGTATATAAATAGTTTTGTTGGTATTCCGACACGGGAACAAGCGACATATAACTGGCATCAATCTTGAAAATCCATGTTTTTCACATGGAATGCTGTATATCATAAAGCATTAGAATAATAAACACTTTTTTTTTATTAATTATAACAATTCGAGTTCAATATTCATAATTAAGACAGGACAACGTCTGTCGGGTCAGCTAGTAATTGAAAATAAATACTAATAGGTAACTAGCATTATTTTTTTTGTTTCTTATTATTATTTGTATATAAATTAATTTGATATCGAATAAACGATGGCGCAGGCCCTGAAGTATTACCACAGCAATGCCGGGACCTGTGTCGATTCATAAGTGAAAAAAAAAAAAGGTATTATACATGAAACATAATATTTTTGTTTTATAAAAATAAAAACGTATTTATTATAAATTATATATTTATGTTTAGACATAATTTTTTAGATTTAGATCCGGAAGGACTGGTGGAGACAAGCGATTGCGACGTGGATGGGCACCTTTACATAAGTTTGTCCAAATTGTAGTTTTGAGGCTTGAAATTCGATGAGTGCATTTTCTGGTTTGTGTCAAAATGACAACAAATATATCTAGTAGTATAATAATGATACGGGTAACGGAGCCGCTTGTAAATTAATATGAAAATCAATTTGAATATTTTAAAATTTATAAGTTTCGTATTTTTGAATAAAACATTAAATACTGGACGTGCGACACGGCCTTGATATTATCTCGTTCTATACATGTTTTAACGCCACGCGACGCTTATATTCACTGGAACCTCTTTGTTAAATTTAATTAACAAGTAAATTTCGGAAATGTCAACAATATGACTTAGAGGTATAAGCATTTTAGTGATTAATAGTGTATGCAAATTTTATATCGTTAATATATACGGAAACAATATTATTTCGTGATTTTTAGAGCTGTTTCTTTTTATCGTCGATAGTCATTTCTCGTTTTCCACAGCAGCAATATCGATATATATTTTTTAGGGCCTTTTTCGTGACCCAAAAGAACAAATATACTAAAAGTATGATTAGCGTCATGACGTCCAACAGCAGATACTGGAACCAGTGTAAAGAGTTGGCGGACGTCCGCAGATGTTCCGCTCCGCCGTACTTGATGACGTATTCTACCCAATAGACTGCCGTTTCCAGTGGCGTCATAGGATTGTCCCTGAACACAGTAGACGTCTTTTTAGCGTTTTCAGCGTACCTTTAGTAAAAAAAAAATTGTCCAGATCAACACGGTATTACCAGCTATTTATTCACATTACTTATATACACCACTTATTAAAGGACGAAGTAAGATATTTTCAGGGAAAATGGATTGTAAATATGTAAAATATTAAAAGCGGTCTTTTAAATTTTTGATTCGTAAATTAAGTGAAAAAAATTGGCAGAACCATGGTGTAAACACGCTCTGCGACCAAATGTTTTAGACGACGGTTCCTACAGTGGTGGCTGTTAGCTGTTAGCTGTACCAAATATCTATCCAGTTTGCAGGTGTGGACTAAGTGATTCATCGACCGACCATACATCAACGTCGAATATTTGGTGTCATCATAAAGGTAAAACAACCACTGTTGTAGGTAATTTAATGTATATCTGTAAGTAGCTATTATCTAACCATCGCTAACGAAAAAACGATTCTGAGCAAAGTTCGGTTGATAGTGTTATTTTGTCAACATTACAAATGTCCTATTATGGTAAAATAATTGCATATGCATTATTATTTGGAAAACTCCTGGGAAAATCAAAAAATAACCATCCTAAAGTACTTCCCTAATCAGATTTTTTATTTATAAAAAGTGTAAATCCGAGCAAAATTTCTGGTAGAAAAGTTGTCCATAAAAAAAAAAATAATGGTAAACATCATTGTAAAAGCAATACATTCCTCGCTTTGCTCAGAAACTAAAATTTAATGTATCATAAAATAATATTTACCACAATGTATATTTGGTACTAAATGGTTAGGTATGGTTAGGTTTAAAATCAATAAAAAGTAATTTAAGACTATTTCAGTGCCTTTCATAGTCTATAGAAATACATTTTAAATTTTCTTTATATTTTTGCAGCCCTTCACCATAAATACACCCCTAGAACAGAGAGTGCCGGGCCGCAATACTGTCGTCATCGTCGGACATAATATAAGTTTCGTTCACGTAAAGTGACCACCGTAACGAATCTTTTTGTGTACGTGTTAATTTTTTTTTACGTTTGCAACCACAACACGGTTACCACTTTCGTCGCTTGCGCCATTGCTAGAGTTTGGAGAACGTATTGGTGACCAAATGTTTCGGTCCGCCGCCGCAGCCCATGACGTCATTATCAGCCGCACCGCCTTATCAATCAAGGATTTTATTTTATATACATATATATATATATATAAATGTATTTGTGTTATCGGTTGGTATCATAAAGATTATTGATTGTTATTTCTCCACGCGCTATTTAATTTGTTTAAGTATACAATAAATTTCCGTTATGAATACCCGTTATATTCGATGTTATTTTTTTATTTTTTGTTATCTTTTCCGTGTACGTAATCCTTTCCCTTCTTCACGATCAATGTCGCCACGGCTAACCGTCACCACTGTAGGAGTCGTCGTTTCGAAACTGTCACTATATTGATTAAGGTTTGAGAGCCAAATAATAAATCTACACGAGAAATGGCAGGAAAGCAAAAGGTTGTCGTGCGATTAAGAATATGTTCTATTAAGAGTAAAATATAATTTTGTACAATACTACTGTGAGGCCAGCGATGATTAAATATGGGTCTGTGTTATTAAAAGAAAAAAAGCGTCGAAATAAAAAATTAAAGTAGTGGAAATGAGGATATCTGAGGATCGATCTGTAGATTTTTATCTACATATTATAGTAGTGGGTATGACATAAAAAAATTGAAAGATAATTCATGGGGTTATGAGCATGGTCATAAAAGATAGATCAAGATGACAGGTAAGATGGAAATCGAGGAAGAGGTATGTAAAAAAAATGCAGCTAGATGTTGTAGAGCAGATATGAGGGTAAATGAGCAATCGGTAATGGATGGGAAGGTGTAGGGGGTACAGTAGTGCAATCAGGATTTTTGAAAGGAGAGGAGAACCTAACATGTTAACCTAAATTTAAAAAAAATCGGTTATCAATATACTTTAATACATTTATGTTCTTAAACATAAAAGACAATCAGGCACCCAAACCACATTCCCCCTTGTTGCGCCACAGAGGTGGTATAAGAGTAGAAACCTCACTTGCGTGGAAGAGGAAGGAGAAAAATGATACTTAGATCCACAAACTGGTTGTGTACTCACGTAGGTTCGTTAAGAAGCTTGTACAGTGCATTACCAAATGTCTCGTGAGTTAAGTCGAAGTATGGGATTTGTATGGCCACGCCGCGGTACTGAGCTCGAAGCGAGTTGCCCAACTGATCACCGAAAACTGGTATCGCCAGCATTGGCACGCCATGATAGATTGACTCAATGGTGCTGTGTACACCACCGTGCGTGATGAACAATTTGCAATTAGGATGACCTTAACACAAAGCATCATGTATGTACAATAGATATTGCGGACCAATACAAAAGAGCCTCCAAGATACAATCATTATTATTAAGTCGATTTAAATTTGATCGTATTGCTTTTGATCTAAAGGTCACACTTTGGGGACACGGATGAATAAAACCCGTTATTATTTAATTTGTTGGTTACAGACAAGTAAGTATCCTTATTAAAAGATAAAATACCGGTCAACAACGATTAACTGAGATAAGGGATAAGGGTAGAAACGGAGACATATATCGAATTGATTTTCCTTTACCGGTTTCTATTTTCGAAACATTGAGCCCGGGTAGTACCAGGTGATACAAGATTGTGACGGGATAAGTCAAGGGCCCCGAGCGTGATCGGTTACACGAGAAGAAATCTCTTACCATAACAACTGTTACGTACATATTGGTGTTAATGATAACCTTAATTATACCGTTTAATATTATTATTTTGTTTTATTCTTTGTAAATATTGTATCATTTGGTAGTTCCAATAATATAGTTAGGTTCAACATACACAAGGATTAAATAAATGGTTACACGAGAATATTCACCGAATGAAAGCAGCTAAAAAATTGACTTTTTGTATCAACTCTTTTTGTAATTAGTGATTCAAATATTCCTTTACAAGGCCTACTCGGTTTAAACTTTACGTTGTAAAACTAAGAGGGTATAAATAATAAGTGATAAAGGAATAAGAGTGTCATAAAATAATAAGTAATAATTATTCTAGCTTAACAAAAACTGGATAAAAATATTAAGTGCCCCCTTTTCGTACATTTTTTCTGGCTACGGTACTGTCTTACATGTAGGTTGGATACTGCTCTAAAAGATAGCAATATAAGGACGTATTTTTTCCAATTTATTCTTCATGATAGGGGTTTTCTGTTTTTCCTATCAAAGCGATGGAAGGCGATCCGGGGCCTAAAACCTCCACTTCAACACTCTTCGTGGCTTCTTTTACATACACCGTTCGACGATTTTACCTAACAGATCTTTTCTTTCCGGCACCGGCTTAAACACAAAATTCTGACTGAAGTGTCCTATCCTCATCAAAGTCGCTACAATACTACACAACAACATTACGTACACGAATAAATATAGCTTATATTTCCTTATAAAGGTTCGCTTTCGAGATATAGTCACTGCAAAACATACATCAAAATGTAGCAAAATAATATATTGTTCAAAACATATTTTTAAAACGGGCGTAGTCAAAATAGCACAATTACGTAAAATGCATTGCGGGTTGTAAAAAATTCGAACAGTGACATTGGTGATAGTGGTAATAGTGGTAGCTGTGGAAATGCTTCGACGGTGGAAATGGAGGGATTAAAACATACATTTTTTTTAGAATTTTAGAATCTAGACTTTATTAGAGTTTAAGTGTAATAATCGAGATAATATTACTACTAACTCACCTAGTATGTCGTTCTGGGGAAACCATTTTCGAATAATTACATTCTTGGGAAGTTGTGGCACTTCGTTTGCTTCCCATTTCCAAAGCACTGTCTGTTCGATCTTCGAAAGCTCAGACAGCAAAAGTGACACCGTTTCGTTAGGCATTTGGGATGACTTTACTATAGATCCCAAGCTGAAATACACCACGCCCTTCTCGGAACCGTCCATTATTTCTTTTAGATCCTGCACACGCATAAAAAAAAATTAACGTTCATGATATGGATACCTTTTTCAATAATATGATTTTTTTACTTTGGGTAGTTCTTTGGACGGCAAACAATGCATACCGGCCACGTTCACGTAACTGGGTACCATAGGCACGGCTGAACCGATTATCGGATGACTGTTGATCAGTGTTAGTGATATATTTTGCAACATTTCAGTCAGGTCGGACCTACCCTCGTATCCGGGATACACGAAATACTTGTCGACAAGAGTTCTGTGCTTGGGTAAGTAGAATACGCGATTCATGGCGATGTAGAAGAAAGTGGCTACGAAATTAGTAGTCCGTTGTGCAAAAGTCATGTTGGAAGCGTACCGGCTGGTCAAGTCGGGCATATAAGCTGGATTATGCGGGTTTTTTTGCCACTGAGACACTCGCGCATTAGTTGCGAATGGCAACAGTTGGATTACTGGGGCGCCATACTTGTGTCCAATAGCAACGAAACACTCGTGATAGAAGTTCTCGAACAGCACTAGATCAAAAGACGATCGATCGTGAGCAATAAAGTCCATCACCGACGACTTGTTTAGACTAATCTCGCTAATGTGTGGCCCGAACCACCACAAGTGTACGGGCGTTGGAATTAGGTTCACGAATTTTGCCACGTTCAGCATGTCGAAATCTAAAAAATCAAAAATACACGATCACTATAATACTTATAATATAATATACGTAATACTATAGTATGAATAAAGCTCGTGTTTATACCTCCCAACGTCTGTTCTACTTTGACATGACGGTACGGCAGTTTAACGCCATCGAGCGAAAACGGTGACACCAGTGTGACGTTGTGTCCTCGCTCCACCAATGTTTCAAGCAATGGTTTGAAACCGAAGAAATGGCTTTTACCTTCGGTGGGTAAAAAGGCCAAAATATTAGATGGTTTATTTGGAGGTTGTAATTGTAGTAGTTCGTATCCAAACGCCGGTCTTACAAATGTTAACTGTACAATAAATAATACGATTTACCAAAATATTAATTTCATAAAAAAATTACTATAAGACTAAAAATTACAACCACATTTCTTTTAATATTCCTTTTAATTTACAAAAATGAGCACATCATAGTAAAACCAATTGCTACACTCAGAGTTTAAACAAATCTATTATATATAATAATTCAGTGTAGTAAATTTTCACCAAAACATACGTAAGAAGTAGAATTCATATTCACCGAAATTATTGAAGTACGTTTGTAACAGGGACTAGAACCGGAACAGAAACCTTTATTTTGTTAAATAAAGGCATACCCACCGTGTAAAGTATGTCCGTCTATTTTTGCTCATAATTTTCCAAAACACTAGTTGTTTACACAGAAATACATCTTTATTTTATTCATTAAAAGTGTTATGTGTATGCTAAATTGGCAAGTAGCAGATAATACTTAAACAAACAGATTTAAAATTCTAGGGGAGGAGTGTCTCGTATTACCTCTCTCCCTCCACCCACCAGATTTTATTGACTTTGGAAACTTTAACAGTATACCTATCCCAAATCTAAAATAGACATATGTATTAGAATATTAACAAATTAATACTTAATGATGTTTTAATTTTCAATAACGTTCAATCTAAAAAAGACGGACATACTTCGGACGTGGATGCAGCTACTGTTGTAAGTGAGAAGTTGGGAAGGTAGTAGAGAGGAAATTTAATGTATATCTCTAAGAAACGATGAACCATTGCCATTTGCCGATTTTCCGAAAAATGTTTTCCGGTTTTTCCTCGCGGAATGCCCAAAAACGCCCAACGCCTTCAACCGGACAAAATGTCGTTTCAGAAGAAGAGACGCGCTTTCATTCCGTACGATCGGAGCAACGAGTGTTCCAAACTCGAACAGAGTCGCCGACAGACGACAGACGCGCGCACAAACACCTCGAATGCGAACACGCGTTTTGTGGTTACCGTGACACGTTTCGTTGCTCGATGTCGCGCGAACAACGGCGTCTCGGAACTCGCGGGTTTCGCGCGCATAAATTTATATCATTCGTCTACTCACCGTGCGCCAAGCCAGCACGATCGTCGCGATCCGCGCGAGTCGATCGTACGACGACGACTTCATCGCGTCCGTTGCCGTATTTTCGACCGGTACCCGGCTGCGGGAGGTGTTTGTTGTCGGTCGGCCGGGTGTCGCCTAGACGATTTAAACCAAATGAATGCCCCGCGACACGAAGCGACGCGGCTTTCTGCACGGACGTACGGAAACCCCGGTGGCGGACGGTCAACTGCCGACGGCCACGCGAAATGTCGAACTTGATCCGGTGGTCAGCGGCGGCGGCGGCGGCGGACGATGGCGAAACCGTTTGCCGCGTGACGGACGAGTTACGTAACGGCGGCGGCGGCTAAACGCGGAACGGAGAAACGCGCACCTACTACGACGGTCCGGGCGCCGATATATTTTTGATTTTTTCGTCGATCACCGACAGATATCTGGCGTGTCGATAATAACGATGCGCCGCGCCCCGGACGGTATTCTCGAAACGTGTTTTTAGCACAAATCCGAGTAAAACGTATACGAACACCGGTAACAGTATTGCAGCGTTGTACACTCGCCGCGAATCGTCCGCGCACAATTTTTTGCGCGGTTGTTCGGTAACAATGTAAAAATGATTATAATAATAATTATTACAAACGGTTGTCCGGAACGCGTACCCCGCCGACGGACGCTTACAACGGTTTGCCGAGTATTCCGCAAATGGAACGACGGCAGGAGCACGGACAATAACATCGTTACATAACGTTATGATATTATCGAAACGAGATATCCAAACGGTTCGTCATCATGATGATAATAATAACGAAATGTGTACGTCTAAATCACGCACGTGAACCGTGCCCCGTCATTAACAAACACTGAACAACGATAACGACATTAGTATACTGTTAATTGGCGGCGGTTTTCTGTTTTTTTTTTTTTTAAATCTTTTCTGGAGTTAAACGCCGTAAATTGTATAATACACAGCGGTACGAGAAAAATACACGTATCTAGATTTGTTTATGAAATCATTTTTATACGTTCATTAAAATATCTTTCTTTGGTTTATTTTGAAAAATCAATTGTTTTATTTGTTAATTTAGTACTGAGCGTATTTTAGGGAGGGGGGCAGATAATAGGGGCGACCGGTCCTCCGGATCTGTATTCATATCACTAATTCGTATTTTAGTATATCGATTTAAACACAGGTACGATATAATGAAAAGAGAAGTTTAAAATAAACGTCTTTATATTTTTCAGCGAAAAAACAAAAATGGTTTAATTATTTATAAAAAGGCATATGACCATAGTTATCAGGATACCAAGGTTAAAAAAAAAGCTGTCTTGGGAATAATGGGGACGGATGCAACCACTGTTATAGGTGAGAAGTTGGGAAGTAGTGGAGGAGAAATTTAATGTATATCTGTACACAACGATTAACCATTGCTACGAATCAGTACGGAGTTCGGTTTATTTAGCGTTTGAAGACAATTAAAAAACGTTTTTCTTGGTCATCAACAAGATTAAAAAAATTAAACAATAAAGATCTCTTGTTTTTTTTTTTTTATTGGAACAATATTTTTCGTAGTAAAAAACAAGCCATAAAATTCTAAAACAAATAGAATACATACATTTATCAGTTATTACAGAAAAAATCAAAAAAACAAATTTATTTACTAATGAAATACATTAAAAATGCAACAAAAAAGATCTCTTGTATGTTTCGTCTTTTTGGTTTTTCCAAATTATTATGAAATTTACTTTAGTAATCAAAAAATGTTTTTATTTGACAGCGGTTATAATATATTAAAAGGAATAAAGTTGATAAATTATCATTTTTCTGGTTAAAAAGGTTCTGTTCAAATTTCAAGTCTCTACGTTTTACTATGATACCTGTTTTCTTTTCTCTACTGTGAACGACTTTTGTACTAAAAAACTTGCTTCAAATGACAATTGAATGATTTTGTTCTTTATAAGATTTCGTCCCTAAAAATGCAAGTCGTTTTACAATATCTAAAAAAATTAAAACTGACGTACGACAACGTAGCGTCCCGGTTTCATTACTTTAATATGTACAATGTTGTCTACCAGAAATGTTACTCCAATCGATGAATAACAAAAGATCGATTTTGTTCCTCTTAATACATAACCACCGACGTAGAGTCGTTTTTTGATACCTAAAATATTTTCATAATAAACAGGAAAAATCAAAAATGACGAAATGTACGATTTTTATCAAATTATTACAACGATTTCCATATTTTAAATTTTAGATTCTGAGTGGAGCGAAGAAAGAAGCTTATAGTTTTTTTTTTTTTATCTGTAAACAACTTTTCTATTAGAAATATTGCTCCCGATTACAAGTATAGCACTTTTTCTGAAAGGAAATCTGACTGAAGTGGTACTTTAAACAGGTCATTTTTTGATTTTCCCCAGAATTTTCCCAACAAATGGGAAAAACCGAGAAATACATTGAAAAACGGGGAGAACCAGAAAATAAGTACAATATCAACCCGTCAGTGGTCGCGATGTGAGCGTGACGCTCACATTTAAACGAGTTTAGACACCACTGGCTTGTTTCTGGGGGATTTCGTGTGAAACTATAAATACCTCTTATCAACACATGAACAAATATAGAAAAATTAAATGTTATGATTTTATCAATGTTTTTGCTTTCTATTGAAGGTTAAAGTCATTAGCTACGAATAACTGAGCGCTGCGCTCACACGCGACTAATGCCGTATTTGTTTTATTTTATTATTAGTTTGTTTAATAATTTTATTATTACGTACTTTTATAATAAAAATGGATAAAGTGACACAAAATATCATTGGATGGATCGAAGAATCAGAAGATTTTGATTGTTTATATGATACAGATGATTCAGCCGATGATCCTGATTTTATTCCACTTGATATACAAGAATGTGAAAGTAAATCTGACTTTTCTGATACAGGATTTGTCGTAAATGAAACATTGCATATAAATAGGCGTAACAGAACAAGTACATCTCGTAGATCTCGTTTTTTTCAAAATTTTTTCAAATAATTATAAACAGTTATATTGAAGATATATATTTGATTTTTTTTGTTTTTTAAATATATTCTTATTTTTAATAATAATAAAAAAGAAAAGTATAATATAATGCATTATTTTTGGTTTACCGACAACCACAAAATTGAAGTTATGATATTTAATTTATTCTAACTAACAAAAATCACATTCAAAATTGGCAAAACAGGTGTAAAAAGCGCCGCGCTCACACGCGCCCAACGATGTTATACAAATTATCGCGACCACTGACGGGTTAAAGAAAATGTTTAGTGCATAAGTAATTATTTTATTATAATATATGACACATATTGTTGACAAAGGAACTCTATCAACTGAACTCCGCTCAGAATCGTTTTTTCGTTAGTAATAGTTAATCATTGCGTACAGGTGTCATAAATTTCCCTCTATATCCTACCTTCTCAACTCCCCACCTATAACAGTGGCCTGTTTGGCCAGTGTGACTCATCGTGCAAAGTTGCCGGATTTTTACGGCTAATGTTTTCTACCATAAATATTTCTCCAATAGAAAAATATTAAGAGATCTTTTTGTTGAATTTTTAATCTAGTTTTTAATCAAGAAAGTCGTTTTTGTAGTTTTCTTAACGATTGAGCAAAACCGAAAAATACATAGAAAAACGGAAACATTTACGTAAATTATTTTAAATGTGGTTTTTTTAATGTGCTTCAGTTTAAAAAAAATATTCGAAATGTTGATGGAAAACATTTTATATATTTCTACGTTTTCTGAACGTGGTAAAACTTTCCTGATAAAATGTTTAATTTTGCGAGTCTTTTACGTAATTTTTGTTTGGTAGGTACTGTGTAGATAAATTGTTAGACTTAATAGAAATGCTTAAACATTTGATAGGAGATTTTTAGATTCTAAGTGGAGTGATGAAAAGCTAATATTAAACAAATATTGTTAAAGAAAATAATATATATAATACAATCGTTGTACCATAATATGACGTATATAATGTAGACAAATGTCACGTAGCGACACTGTTTACCGAACTCCGCTCAGAATCGTAGACTTCTCGCCAATAAAACCCCCCATACACGGTCAGTCATGAATGACAATCAACGTGATTGGCAGTCAAGATCGACGATTGATAATTACCATATACGGTCAATCAAGACTGACAATCTTCAGTTAGGTTTGATTACTGTTGAAAGTGTGCCGTATCGTGTTGTCATTTAAATATTTATATAGTACCGAACCGACGCCTAGTATATATCGTCGGTACCTGCACCGGATTTTTCACTCGATAAAATTTTCTTTAACTCACGACGATAATTTAATCTCAATGAATTGATTTTTTTTTTTTTTTTTTAGTTGTATTTATGTCGGCTGTCGGATAGATTTCTTTTAATTTATTAATTAATTATGCATCGCATTTTTGTTTCAAAATTATATTTTTGTACAAATCACTTTTAATTGTTCACGTAGCAGGTAAACTACGATATAAACGATATAAAATCTTCATTATTTAATTTATTTGCCATTTTTGGACGAAGATATAAAATGTACAAAAGACACGACCGCTCCACACAAGTTCGACTTGGTCGATTGGTAAACTGTACATTAACGGACATACACGGTCAGTTATGAAGGTCATTCATCTTGACCGATGATTTAAAATTCAAACACACTTTTGAATTCCATCGGTCATGAAATCTGACTGTCAGTCATTATCATTCGCATACATACACGATCGGTCTTGGCCGTCAATCACGTCGATTGGCATTCACGGCTGACCGCGTATGGGGGGCTTTAAGTACAGTGGCCCGCCCACGTGCGAAACATGCCGGTTTATTATTTCCCCCCCCCTACCTTGAGCAATCAGTCAGGCGACAATTGACCGTGATAATATAATATTACGGGCATATAGGCGTATTACGCGCGAACACGCGTTCCCCGTAAAAGGCTGCGAGCAATACACCGTGTGTGTCCGCGTTGTATTATCGATTTTCAAGACCTGTTGGGAAAATCGGAGGTAAATAATAATAATAATAAATAACGAACGCGGCGGCGGCTGAAACGGCGACGACAACGGGAATAACGCGTAATACGCGACGAGCGGGCGGACGCGGTTGCGACGCACACAGTCGACCGCGCCGCGTGTGTCGGCGGGGCGGTGCGGGGGCGGCGAGTGAGGGGGGGNGGGGGGGGGGGGGGGGGGGGGGGGGGGGGGGGGGTACGGGGTAGCTGTAGAGCCGGGTGGCGCGTAATAGTGATCGAGCCGGAGACCGTACGGGACGGGTCGGGCGGTGCCCGACGGCGGCGGGGGTTTCATTCAGAGAGCCACGCGTGGGCGTCCCGTCTGTCCCCTATAAAACCTCCCCCTGGCCGGGAGCATCGCGACAGTTCCGGTACGGACGCCGAGCAGACGAAACGTATTTGATTTCTTTCCCGTTGGTCGCGTCGGTTTTGTACAGCGAAACGCGACATCGGCCTGTTTCCAGCCATTACTATCCAGCGGCGAGAGCGTGTTTCACTCGTATTTGGCCTGCTTTGCTTGCGACACTCCGAGAGTACGATCCCGAAAACAATCGAATCGCCGCCCGTAACGTAAGCTACAACTGTTGTAATAATATCGTAAATACATTTTTTTTTTTTAAATTTAAAATATTATAAACCGGTAATACACCCTTATGGTGTAGGTATGCGTGTGTGTACCGCTTAATTCACGTTGCGTATGGACCGTGAACATCGAAAAAACAATAACGCGTTTAGGGATAAAAAAAAATGTATTAAAGAGAACAATTTTCGACTTTGCATTTTGAATTATGAGCGTAGTTTATTTTTTCGAAGATGTATGTGTGTTGTGGCTTCAGAAAACTGTTTTTCATTCAATTCATTTAAATGTTCCGATTTTTCCATGTCAATTTTCACCTCAAACCATGCAGAATTTCTACCCATTGGTTTTTTATTTGAACAACAATTTATCGAAATGTTCAGCAGATCAATTCTCTGGTCTTTTATGTTTTATATTCTGAGCGAAACGAGGGAGGAATTCATTGATTTAACTCGGATGTCTTACATTTATCTAGATAAGATAAAAGATGAAAATAAAAGTACCTTTTCTGTAATTTGAATAGTATAATAAATTATTTTTAAAAATTATACAGTCAACCGTTATATTTTCATCGAAGCATTTACAATACGAAAAAAATTAGATTATATTTAAAAGTAATTCCATATGTTTAATTCTTTGAAATAAAATATTAGGCTTTGTTCACAATTGACAGTAATTTCATTTTAATATAATACGTATATATATATATATATATATATATATATATATATAGGCTGATTAAGCATATTTCTTTTTTTTTGTAATTTAGATCTAACTGGCTATTAGGAAAATGGTGCATTGACCTTATCAATTTGTTGTTGTTTTTTTTTTTTTAGATTTTCTTTGGTAGATACTCTGTGGATAAAATGTTTCGCCCTAACGGAAATACTTGAAAATATAACACGAGGTTCATAATAAGTTATATTTACTTATAAAAAAAAAAAATTAGTTTTTAAGACCGAATTGTAAAAAGTCGTAAAAAATTACGGTATTTCAATACTGAACTTCGCTCAGAATTGTATTTCGGAATCGTTTTATTCATTCCACCATCCCAACTTACCACCTACAACAGTGGCATCCACCCGTCCTCTTTTTTTTTTTTCTATGTTGGTTATTTATATTAACGCATATTTTCTATCATTTAGATACTGTAAATACCTATTTAAATTATTTGAAAATATTATTTAATGCATTTATACGCCTACAATACTACACTACAGTATTCGGTTTTTTTTTTTTTTTTATAGTATAGTATGTTTCGCATGCAGATTTTATTGTTTTGCAAAGTACACTGCAAAGAATATTTCTATTATACAAAATGAGATAGGGGATTATTGGACTCCGCTATTCCCGGGTGTTTTTCTGCGTTACGGTATAATTGCGTAAACATATTTTTTGATCAAATCATATTTCATGAATCACGTATACGTATGTATATCGATGGATACGATACGATAGAATTCGTCTTACGGTAATGACAATTGTCATTCAAACATTTAAAAGTGAATTTGAATATTTTTAGGATTAAATTTTAATTTATTTTTTAGTCATACTATCCGTTAAAATTTCTAATACGCAATACTATAAATATCGGGGCGTGCAACAACGTTTGGTGTATTACAAACATTTTTATCATTGCATATTTTATTATTTTTTAATTTTTTACGTATACAGGTGAATCTATCCTAGGTGGCCAACATGATCTTGACAGGTATGTTGACCGTGTGCCTCGTGTGGCCCGCAACGATTCGGGCATTCAACTTCATGGACCAGTACGGGAAAAACCAGTTGATGCAAAAACAAAACCGCCACAACAGCCCGGCGTGGTACAACGATGTTAACCTGGTGCCTGATTGGGCATCGCCGTATAGCATCGCCGACGGCGGTAACGATGGTCTGATGATGGGAAACTACGGACGACGACTGGGTGACAACGGAGGGATGATGATGGACAACGACGGAACGGCCGCGTTCAACCAACAAAATAATAATATGCTGTCCTCGGACGACTACTATTACGACGACACCGCGGACGTCGGTCCGTACGGTTCGTCTAGACCACAGCCACATGACCGGTTGGACTACGCGGTGGTCAGGTACCCGAGTTATCACGGTTATTATCCCGTGGACGACGACCTGCGGGTTGCCGGGTACGACCGGGGCGCGTCGGACAACCAGCTGTTGCAGTACGAAAACAGGAAGACTTTCGACAATCGGAAATCGGTACCCGTTGTACCACCAGCAGCGGTCGTCTCCTCGGCCATGTCGCCGTACTACACCCCTCCGGTGCACGCCTCCGGTGTGATTAACGGTTACGCGGCACCGCTGCCGCCGATAACGTTGAACCGCGGGTACGACACGCCTAGATTTCCGATGGACAAGTTGCACAGGTTCCGGAAGGTGTTCTTATCGAATGTAGTGTCGCCGACCAACGTGTTCAAGTCGCCCGAGGAACAGCAGTTGTTCGATATCTGGGAATCCTTGATTAACGACGATTTAATGACGGGAAATGTGCAGCAGACGATGGACGACAACAGAATCATTACAGCTGACCGACGTGTGCAGGCGGTGGACCAAGACCGACAGCAGTTTCCGTTGTTCCAACACCTACCGCCGGTACTACAGCGGTTTCAAAAGCAACAACAGAGGTCTCAGAAACTCAAGCAACGGCACCAGGATCAGTATCATCATAAGCTGCAGCAGCTGCAGCCGCAGGCGCAGAAACTCGTGCAGTACCAGAAACCCAACGAAGAACGGAAGTCGTATCCGTCGATGCAATCGCATAAATTGAAAAGTGAGGAAAGAGAATACCGCGAATGGACGAACGGCTCGCCACTCCGAAAAAGGTCTTCCTCCGCAGCTGGCGGCGACGAGTACGGTGCTGCCCAACTGCGTCGGGCGACCCCAGCGGACAACGATGACGTGCGACAGTTGGAAAAACTCAAGACGAGCAAAACCGTGACCGGCAATATGATCGCCAAACCCAACCGGACCGTGTCGAGCACGACGGTAGTAACCACAACCACGATCGCTATGACGGATACTACGCCGCCCCCGCCAATGACCGACGGAGGACAAAGAGAGTACGTACTGCCACGACCGGCGGGCGAAAAGTCGGGTCTCGAGAGCCTGTTCGAAGTGATCGCCGAAGGCGGTATCCGCGGGAATTACAACGGAAACGGCGCCGCAGACTCGGCCTTCAGTAAAGTGAGTATATCCGCCCGTGAATTTCGCGTGAAAATATGATGTGCATAATCAAAAGGGAGTGTAGGGGCGAAGGGGAGGGGGTCACGCGGTATGTATTTAAATGCGGGTCGGGCATTGACCGTGGTTTATTTTTCTCATTGTTCGGTATTTATTTGCAACAACAAAATGCAATTGCACGAATTAATTTGTTTCCCTAGAAGCTCGATCGGATATATGGATATATATCCCATTGGCCGATGTAATGTCGTGTATTTTTGCTTATTGCTCATCGGCGTTATCCGACAACAGTTTCGCTATCGTTATGGAGCACTTAAAACACGCTATCAAGCGAAGCAGAAAAATTATTTTCATAAAACTGAATCTTAGATTATTAACTCTCTTGAATAAACCCTGAAAATGGCAAGGTTATTTTAACTCATAGTGACGCTTATAACACAATGATAACGAGGAATAACGCGTAATGTACATGTTGATAATTCCATCATAAACCGGCAATTTTGTCGGAAGGTTTTAAGTGAATTCGATTTCTGATTTTTCGACCATTGTGAATCATTTAAGATAAATTTAAAAATCGCTTTTAATTTTTTCATCTCTACGCAGTATACCTGAAACCGGTGTTGTCGCCGGGGAGTAATAAAATCGCGGTTACACGGCGAGGCGGTTTATGTGTGTCGTTCTCGTATAATGTTCGCGCGTCTCGGCCGGGTATGACGTCAATGCGATGACGATCGATACGCGGAGCCGCTGCCGGTCGGATTCTTGAATGGAGGTCGGCCGCGCGTATTTGTTAGACTATGACGTCTTTACCGAAAATAGAACCGAACTCGCGTACTACCCCGCCCGGCCACACGACTCAGTTGAATGAAACCACCGCACCATCCCGTCCCAGTGCGGTCCCGCGGGATTTCCGCCCTCCCGATTCCACCGCCACCGACGATCCCGTGCCCCCGTCACCGGCCGCGGGTGGTTGTCCGCTTGTTACAAAACTCTGCGCGCCTGACGTCACGCGACCCGTCTCGTATTATTCCGCGCGGTCCCCCCTTCCTCTCATCGAATTTCTCCCCCCCCTGAACCTGCCCGGTGCGGTAACAAACCGAGGGACGGAATATGTATGAGACCCCACCTCAACCCACACAAAGCTATATTATTATCCCGGACTAGCCCCGCGCCCCGGGACTCTGAAATCCTTCGCTCGTGAAGGGATCCCCGCTGATCCTCTCTACTTCCCACCGTCCGCCGTGAATTTCCCCGGACGGCAGCTCCGAAGTGCTCGCGGCGCATGACCGTTCCCCTCGCATTATTATTACGATTATTGTTTCGTCGTTTTTTTTTTTTTTATAAATATTATTCACGATCACTCCGCCGTATTATTATACCGTTGTATGGATTATGATTATGCTCTTTTTTTTTTCCTCAGTCATACCGCATTTGCGCAGACGCCGTGGGCCGGACGTTTATCGTAAAGGCACGCGTGAAACTCGGTTAGAGAGAAATTTCAACCACGCAGTGACGCGTAGTTTAGTACACATTGAGAGAGAGAGAGAGAGAGATGGATAGAAATGCGGATTTTTAACAACTGACGGTGGGACAATTTCGGCGATGATAATATTTGTCCCGCCGCATTTAAAATCGCCCATTTTCACAGCGTGTATCATTTGAAGCGATTTTTTTTTTCCAAAGGAGATCAGTAGAGACGCCCAAACACACATTTCGAGAATATTTAACGCGTTTCGACATCGGGGCAATACGACTTTACGCTTCGATTGACATCTACGATTTTCGCCCCCCCCCCCCCCCGTATCAGGCGTAACGTGGAAGAACTGACACATTTAACGGTTAACACGATTAATATGTTAGTTTACATTTCGTAGTTTTGTATCACAATAATCATCACCCCGGATAAAATTATTGTCCGGTGCGTCATCGATGTTCCCCGTTCGGTCGCAACCGTAACTCGATAAGTCCGACCGCGCAGTGAAATGTCACTTGATTTAATATGTATACGACCGAGCCCGTTGTAATAGGGCAGTGTGCGGCCGAGTCGTTGTATCCGAACCTAACCGCGTGTTAAACACGTCAATAAACGTATTACAGTGATTTGTATCGCGCGATATTATTATTGTCCCGAGCCGATTCGGATTGCCGACGGTGTTTCTGGTTTTTTAGCCTTTAATTTCGGCACAAACGCCGCAATTCGTAATACGGACGGGTGTCGCCTAGTAGCAGTATACTCTTAATGACCTGCCACTTGATTTCCGTCCCGCCATTTTAATCGTTTTGGACGTGTACAGACATACATCGATTTTTTTTTCTGCTCTATAACGGCCATTAAAAAGTTTGACGAGGGGCGAATCGACGATGGTTTGCCTTTTGGAGTACGGTTTGTGCGCAGCCGTGTGTTTGGCATAACGTCATCCGTGTTCCGCGTGGAACGTAATACAAAAACAGTACACGTACCTAATCAAAGAAGTTTCCGACAATTTTCGGAGGGTGCGTACATAAATAGACTTCTAGACGGAACATTTTTCAGTCGTAAGACTGGGAGGTGTGGTCGGTGCGAACGGACCACCAGAGAATTACTGATATACAGAGTGATCAATTTATCGTAAGACAACCATTATCTCGGGAAATATTAATTTAATTTTTTTTGGAAATTGTTTCATAGAAAATTTAAAAAGTAAGCAGCTCTATACTTTTATATTTGTCATTTTTTTACGCAGTTATTTTTTTAAGGGATAAAACCACCACCTATTTCTGATTTTAAAATTGCAACCAATGTTAAAAATTCCATTAATAGATGGAGTATAATGTTGAAATTAATTTTTTTTTAATATATGTTTAAAATCAAAAGTAGATTGTTAGTAATATTACTCTAGTAATATTATACTCTACGAAAACACCTCTGCGTGTTTTTATTTTATCAATACTTTTCGTGTAGTTTTTTTTTTTTTTATAATAAAACGAGTACGGATATCGATTGACAGAACGTTGTTTTCGATAAAAATGTAATGTGCTGACATGAATTTTGTTTTTCCAGTTACGTGAAGAAGTCAAAGTGAATAAAAAGAGATCATTCGTTTCGGATGAGACGTCGTTGGCAGCTGAACTTGGCGCGCTCCGAAAAAATTAATAGTACCTATATAGGACTACTATTACCCTATTGGAGAAAATAAAAATAATACGAAGGCCACTCAAGTTTGTTGAAGAACAAATAATATTACAATAAATTTTTATTTTATATATTAATTAATAATTATTAGTGTGTACATAATAAATTATCTTTTCGTGTATAGGTTCGCTTATTACGTGTAATGTACCTACGAAATTCGTCAACCGTTTCTATTACTATTATTTTTCTAAATTTATTATATTAATATAATGTACTAATATAGGGTGTCATGCCGTGTTTTCCCAATGTTAAGGTTAGTTTCTTAGTGACAGCTGTTTTAATTTTTAGAAAATATCACTGTAAAATTTAGGCATCAGACTTATTGATAATACGCATCGTATAGGTTATTATAAATAATTTAAAAAAAAAATTATAATTTCTAGAGATGGCGTATAAAAAATATCATATTCAATAGATAACTACTACGCAACGCGATACAGAATCACAATCGTAGTGCTATAATAAAACCACGATAGATAACTCTACCGTGAATAAATGTCATTTATACCATACACTTATAAACTAATTTGTGTATGTCTATGATTTATACTCATTGGCATAGCTAAATAAACAGGCATGTCAGTAAAAATACGAGTTTTCTTATAATTATGCTCCCAAAATTGGGATAAACGGTACGATAATCATGTTTCCATCACCCGCCCACCTTGTAATGTCCGGTTTATATCATCTGCCAATGGTTCTGTGCAATAACCGTGATAAAAGCTTAGGTCAATTTCAATCAAATCGTTTATTTCCCCATGGTATGTTCCATATCTTGGACACACTTCACGCACAGAACAATTTTAGTGACATGCGCCTGTTTATTTAGCCATAGCTAAATAGCTGTTACTAAGAAACTATTTATTGCATATCTTTGTTCAGTAAATTAAAATTTGTTGAATAATTTCTATTACAAAGTTACTATTTTCAAATATTTTGAAAAATAAACAAATAAAAAGCTATTTTTTATTAGTGATAAAGGGATGGAAGTACAAATTCAATTTTCCTCTATAGGTGTTCGCCTAACAAAAAATCCATTGGAAAAAAAATTCTTATTAACAGAGATATTTTAGATTGGGAAAACAGGATGGGACACCGCTAAATTTTGTACGCGCACACTAAATTATTTTATCATTATTTTTCATAAAATACATTTTGAACTATTATTAGATATTATAGATACATAGTCATTCTGTCTGAATTACGACTAATTAACTACATAATATTTAGTTAGGGAGTGAAGACTGAAAACATTTCGTTGTACCTATTCACGCGCATTCATAATATAGTGAACGAAAATAAAATAAAATTGTAAGTTTCAAAAATCCGTACCTGTCCCGTATTGTTTATACCTAACCTACTAAACTTTTACTCGTAAGAATTTTTTTTCTGTTATCTCTAAATACCATTTGTATATTATACAGTCTAAATTATTCTATTTTTATGCTGCCCGTTCTCTTGCACCTTTTACGTAATTTTCCTGTACATAATTATTGTGATTTATTTATAAGATCAATTGTTATATTGAAATTAAATTTATTATTATTATATTGTATACCGACCTAATATCGTAGTCGTGAAATTAGGATGATATGTTTAAATAAAAAAAATATCAATATTAATTTAATTGTATTAATCATTTTGTAATCAATATTGTGAACAATTTATTACTTCATAATTATAAATGTGTTACCAAATATAGACAAATAAAACAACTTTTTTTAAAAAAAAAAAACCCAATGCACTAAGTGGACAAAATTAGAAAGCACTCCTTAAGTTGATGATCGGAGTAAGATTTCTGGTAGAAAATTTGTTCACAGACAAAAGAACAGAGCACATTAGTTAAAATATTACAAACGGCAATTATCGGTTTCAAATTCGATAACAAAAATTAATTAGTACCTATCATAATTTTTTCTATGAAATTCGGTGTAGAATGAAAATAACTATATCGTGCACTAAAATGTACGTTATTATGATTTCGATGTACTACTAAGAAGCCACTTATCAAAAACTCCTATTGTTCAAGATATCAAATTCAAAGTTCAACAGTAAATGGTAATTATTTTATTTGCTCATATTTATTATTAAGTACTGTAATCTATACAAAATATTGTTGTAATAGTAAGATTCAATTTTTTAACACATAATAAATTTCACATTTTATTATTTTAAAAACCACAATTAAACATTTTCGGAGTTATGGCTTTTTGTCCAACCTTTATTTTATTTCACATAACTTTAACCGTAAATACAAATAATTGTATACATTTTTTTTTATTTATAAAATCATCAGAAAATTAATGATTTTGTTTAAATTTACCTACTGCAATTAGGTATAGTCTTCCTAGAAATAACAAAAGTAGGATGATTTGGTATGTTCCAAAGCCTCAGCTCCAGGGAGCCTCCACCTCACTCCTCCACCTCTTCCACCTTATCAGCTCCACCTCACTCCTCCGCCTCCTCAGCACCACCTCTCTCCTCCACCTCCTCATTTGTCCACCACGTACTCGACCTATTTAGACCACGCCCACTTTTCCAAAAATATTTTTTCCGTATTATCGAGTACTTAGACGACCTATATTTCCCCCACCCTCTTTTTTTTCTACATACACTACGTACTCTACTTACCGTAATAACATACCTACATCGTTATGACAAACTTAATGTTATCACCAAATACTACTATCACCCTCCCCTACCCGCCGACCTACTTCACATATATACCTATACATACACACACACACACTCACACACACATACATATATATACATACATACACATGCATACACACACACACACACACTCACTATCTCGTAAATATTTTCCCCAGTCCATCTCTTGTGACCGATGATAATCTGTAGTATTTTTTGTCTATATATCTTTCTCTTTGATATTATTTCTTTCCGCCGAAGTATTATCGTAATAATTATTTTATTAGATTACTTTTAGATTTTTCACTCTACAATTATCAAAGCACGACATAGGTTTAGTTTCGCTATTTTTTCTATCTGTTTGAAATCCGATTATAACAAATCGCGGTTTTTCTAACTTATTCGTTGTCTTCACTTTCCACGAATGTGTTGTGTTCTGAGGCAAAAACGGATATTCCGAACTTGAACTGATCATTGGTGGAGGGATGATCGCTTTTTGATCGATTTATATTATCAAAAAATACAGTTCATTATCTAGTAAATATGATCCGTGACCGTATTTATTCACAAACTGATTTTTTTTATTTTTGGGTTCTTAGCTGTTCCGCGATATAAAATCAAAATGCCGTAAAATTATTAGTACGCTTCGTCAATTTAGGTAATTGCTTCACAATGATCAAAGAAAGTTAAAATTTGAAAATCCAAAATAATAATAACAAAAAACCAAATGCAAAAACGGAGAATAATTATTATTTCGGTAAAATGATAACATAATTGGTGAAAAGATGCGAGTATATTCTATTTAGCAATTTTTTTTACTAATTAGTAACGAGTAATTTTTATTCGGTATTCAATGGATAAAATTATTATACTAAACAGAAATGTTTAAAAATTTAACAGGAGGTTCATTATAAGTAATACTTTGAGGTAAAAAAAATAATAAATTGCGTTTAATGTAGTATTTTTCTGTTATAAAAATATAAACATCAAAATATAAGAAAAATAGTAAATATTACAGGCTTTCTAGACATTTATAACCGAATTCTGTTCAGGATTGTTTTTCATTAGTAATGATTATTAATACAGATATACATCATACATTAAATTCCCCTTTAATATCCAGCCTTCTCAACGTTTGACCTACAGCAGTGGCCCACCCATCGTGTGAAGTGCTCACGTCCATAAAATCTATCATTATAACCGTTTTCACTAATCAGGGACATATATAGGTCCAATATTACCTCGCCAGAAGTCGCTATTTTGGCCAACACTGGCTTTTATTTAATTTTAAAATGTATGCCATATACTTAAGTATATTAAATATATAAATTATTGCTTATTTATCATAACTGTATGTATGTAAATTATGTTATCTATTTTATTGTTGATGATCCACGCCGTTCTTATATTATGTAGATAGGTTAAAGTAGTAAAAATAAATTTTAGTCGATAACTTGTCAATAAAAAAAAAAAACAACAAATAAATTACGCATATATATGATGATCAGTATATTACTCCATACACAAATGTAATAATTAAGTATCTAACTTTTAAAAATTTAAATTTAATTTCATGCAACATTTTTATAAATCAGCATTATTCTTCGATTCTGATGAACAGCAGTAAATTGATCCTCGATTTCTGTACCTAAATTTGTCGAAAGGGTTTATTCAATAGAAAGAACTCCTATATCATCTGATGGTCTAGTATTGATCATTTTATTTTCTAGAGGTTTTAATTTGTCGGAAGCTAGACAAAGTTCTCTCCACTCCGACACTTGATGTAAGTATAATTATTGCTATAGTACATAATAAAAAAACCGGCCCCAGGATAATGGGGACGGGTGCAACCATTGTTTTAGGTAATTTAATGGATATCTGTAAGTAACGATTAACCATTGCTAACGAAAAAACGATTCTGAGCGGAGTTCGATCGATAGTGTTGCTTCGTCAACAAAATATGGTACATATGCATTATATATTTTTTTAATAATATTTGTCTAATATTTTACCCACCTATTTTCCCGTTTTTACTACGTTTTTCCCATTTATTGGGAAAACTAAATGATGACCTCCTTAACGTATTTCCACAGTCAGATTTCCTTTTGGAAAATGTGCTATCATTGTAGATCGGAGCAAAATTTCTGGTCGAAAAGTAGTCTACAGATAAAAAAAATAATAAAAATAAACACCTTTGTAAAACCATTAGCTTCTTCGCTTCACTCGGAATTTTAAATTGTTATCATTTTAATTAATTTTATTTTTTTAATAATTTTTTGTGTAGTATATATATATATGTGTGTGTGTGTGTTACGGGCAAAATTTACATTGTCCGGTGTTTCTGGACAACGCGTTAAAATACTATTTTGGTCGGGCAGGGCTGTACTTTGACAAGTACACTTTTTGCCCGTAGTAGATTGGACATTGTAACTTGAGCTATTAAATTACTATTTAATTTTTTAGTGAGGACAGGTGTGAGTATAGAACTAATAGCATAATATTATGAAACCTTTATCTGTTAGTACTTCAAATACTAGTATTGGTCACCGGGCACCAACATACAAAACTCAATATTATCATTATCGTTTCAAGATTATATTTTCATCTACAATATTATCGGCTTGTCGGTAAATCGGTTTTACCTTCACGATATTGTACAATAATACAGATTAATTCAGTTAACTCTAATACAGCGCAGTCGATAGTCGTGCCGCATTGTAGCGTTAGTATAGTGTTCGGCGTTCGGTACATTAATGTGTGCGGTGTTTAAATTAAATTAATTGAATTAATGGAAGAGCAATATTTAAAAAATCTAGAAATTGCATTGAAAAAAAAAAAAAAAAAACAATGTTAATAGTACATATTTAACTAAAACTAAATAAATAAATATTACGAATTAATATCTGAAATAAAACAATTTAACCAGAAATCAAGAGGCCATAAACTTTTGAAAAAATATGACTTAATAAAAGTATCTGATGTGGAAAAATTAATTGTTCCAGTTAGTGAGAGTAATTATTTTAAATACTATGTTTTTAATGAAAAATTGTTTAATATTAATAATATAATATAATTATTTATTATTAATGGTACTCATTGAACTATCGGTCATGGTGGACAAAACCGTATGGAATATGAGCTTAATAAAAATATAAAAATATTACAAGAGAATCGATTATGTTATATGTATTTAAATCTATATGTATCTTGTCAAAAGAAACGTAGTACTGCAAAAAAAGGTCTTGTTGTAAAACCAATAATCTCAAATGAATTGAATTCTAGATGTCAAATTGATCTTACAGACATGCAGGCACAACCTGACGGAAACTATACAATTATTTTAGTGTATCAGGACCATCTCATAGGTTTTGCGGATGATTTGGATATTTTGGGCGAATCCTTAACGGACGTGGCAAACGCAACCAGAATCTTGAGTAATGAGGCAAAGAAAATAGGATTACACATCAGTGATGATAAAACCAAAATAATGAAACTTCTAGGAAGTGGTGAAAACCCCAGAGATATGGAAGATTTTATGTATAAATAGTTGAAGACTTTAAGTATCTGAGTATAACCTAGTGTTAGTGATAGTATAACCTAATGTTTTTAGTTATAATACAAAATAAATTATATTGACAAATATAATTTAATAATACTGCGTATAATAAGCAATAGGAATGCGAACCACAAATTATTTTAATAAATATTGTAGTACATAAATGGTTATTAAAATGTACTATAGGAAAATCTGAAAGGTGGCATGTCTGTTGGATGATATCTACTGAGAACATTTAAAAGTGCCAAGTACGTGAAAAAAAAAAATAGGTATTTTAACAGATAGCCAAGGAGGTATTGCAGGTTTTAGAGTTCCTGAAAATTTAATTCCTGACAAGTAGGTTCTACCTATAGAAGATACATATATATAAGTATATGGTATATTTATTTGAACCATAGATAATATCATTACGTATAGAGCCAAAGGTGCCAATAACTGCATACTAAATATACATGCATATATAATTTTTTTTAATTGTATTCGATACGTACATAAGAAAACCAAATAATTCATTATTATTACTCAAAAACACGTAATTTGACTTTTTAATATTGTTTTATTAATATTATTATAATTTTTTTGATGTTTTTAGTATCTAACAATTTATGATATTAGGTATATAGATAGAACATAAATGAAATTAATAGTTATCTGTACACAGTCATTATCTAACTAATAATCTAGTTTAGCCTTTACATAAAATATAAAATTAAATGATAGACATACTAAACTAATAAATTATGATTACAGTATAAGAAAAAAATATATAAAAATAATTCTTCATCTACTTTGCCTTCATCTCAACTATTTGGAAAGGACAAAATTATAATAATATTAATATAAATGAGATAATAAATAATATATAATGGAGTCTTTTTAAATTCAATGATGTGTTGGTAGGACTTTGTCATAATCTTGATCCGATTCTGACGATTGTGAAATAAAATTACTGGAAATAATAACGGTGTCTTAATAAAATAATAAAGCAAAAACAAAAATATTAAAATGGTTAGTACATGTAAATAAATATAGTAAAAAAAAAAAATATATAAATAAATTTATGAATGCATTGCCAGAAATATTATGATAAATGTATTTTTTTTTCTACTATTTTATTTTTCATGAACATAATATTATGATTTTAAGACTGGTTTTACAGACTGTTAATCATAAAAGAAATATATATGATTTATGTATAATCTATTTTTTCTTAGGGAAAGAGAACATTAATTGATAATATAAATGTTAGCGTTTTTGAAAATACAGATAAAAAATTAAGAAATATTTGAAAACTATGGAATATATATAAATTAATTTTAAAAAAAAACTAAAATGTTTTAGAATGTATTTTAATAGCAAACCTATTGTATGAAATAATGATTAAAATGCTCATATGTTTTATTATTATCAGCGGAATAACAATCCAATGTTATTAGAGGAACATACACCTAATTTTATACATATATTATAGATAATAAAATAACTATTTACTTTTTTTGGTTTGACTTTGATTTGGCGACAAAAAGTTGAGTGATCAGCAGCCTAAATGGCCTTTCCACTAACAAATAAAGGAATAAACCAATTGTTAAACACACAACTGTATCTGAGATAGCATCAGTTATCTGAAAAAAAAAAATATATATTGTATATAAGATTTCTTTATGTTAACACCTGTTAGAAAAATCATAAACTTGAATATTTTCAAGACAATTTCTATAAACTAATTTTGAAGTGATTACATAAATAACTTATGTAATTTGATTATTTAATATTATTTGATCCTAATAAAAATGTGTCATGTACATGTTGAACTACCTACACCTTGTTTCATCCAAGGCCATAGCTGGTACAATTTTTGGGAGAGGGTAGGGGAGGGGTTTAGGTTAAATTGAGTTCTATATTTTTATATAATAGGTTGAAATTTAAAAAGGCGTCCTAGAATAATGGTTACGGGTGCAGCCACAATTATTAGTGATTAAATGTATAACTGTTAACAATGATTAACCATTGCTATGAAAAAAACGATACTAAACTAAGTTCAGTTGATAGTGATGCGTTGTCAACAATATATATGTAATATTATGTTAAAATAATTAATTAGGCATTATAAATATATAATAATATATATATATATATCTTTAATAATATTGATTTAATGTATACATTTTCTAATTTTCTCCAATTTTTGCCTGGTTTTTCACGTTTTCTGGGAAAATTCTTGAGAAAATCGAAAAATTATCTCCTTAGGAACCTTCCCAGTGAAATTTCCTTTTAGAAAAATAGATATCATTATAAGTTTGAGTAAAATTGCTGGTATAAAAGTTGTCCACAGGAAAAAAAAAGGCCATAGTATTTTTAACACATTTGTTGAAAAAACTCCAGAAAAATCGAAAATCGACCTCCTTAAAGTACCTCCCCACACTGATTTCTTTGCAAAAAGGGTGTTACATATAAAAATCAGATAAAATTCTCTGGTTGAAAAGTTGTCCACAGAAAAAAAAAAATTAATATATTTGTAAAGCCATAAGCTTCTTCACTCCACTCAGAATTTAAAAGCTGTCCTACGATGTATAACCTAACCAAACTAGTTCTATAAACATTTTTTTCTAAATGTTTTAAAACAATTAAAAAGAAAGCAAATTTAAATAAAATATAAAATACAACTATTAAAAAGCTGTCCTAGGATATAATGGGGACGGTTGCAGCTACTGTTGTAGGTGGGAAGTTGGGAAGGTAGGATACAAAGGGAATTTGTATATCTGTATGCAACAATTAACCATTGTTAATAGAATAACAATTCTGAGCGGAGTTCAGTTGATAGTGTTGCTTTGTTAACAATATGTCATATTATGGTAAAATGCATATGCAATAATATTTACTAATATTGTACATATTTTCCCGGTTTTTCTAATTTTTCGGCATAACGCCTGGGAAAATCATAAAATGACCTTGACCACTCTAGTAAGTATTTATTTCGGAAAAAATACTATCATTGTAAATCGGAGCAAAATTGCTGATAGAAAAGTTATTCTACACGGTTCACACGCTGTAGGATGTTACGGAAAAGTAAATTGCAGTAGCGTTATCCTCCCGTATTTGTATGGTGGATTTGATAAAAAATGTTTCGTATGTTGTAAAAAAAATACAGACATATCATTAAGGATTAAAAACAATGATCTTGAATGACAAAATTAATACTATAAAAATAATGATTTTTCGAGTGACGACATCTCTAGTAGGTAGTAACAGAGTCGAAGAGTTATATTTATGTCAGTCAGACAAGTTGAAAATTTCTTATCAAACAAATATATATTTTATAAATTTTCGTAAGAAAAAAGTTTTTTTAAAGCTATTTTCGTTTTTTTTTTTTTAATTCCGGACTTATCGGTAAACAACACAGAATTCTCCCGAATATACCATATGTCTGTATGTATAATGTATATACTATACACAAGATACTTACGAAACTTCTGATATCAAAGTGATCGGAACTTCGCCTGCTGGCCGTGTCAGCTACAGGAAATATGGTGTTTACCATGTACGCATTGAAATTCAGGCCAGCCAACGGTATGAACGGTTTCCATGACAACATGTTCTTTACCAAATCTATAAAACAATATTGTTAAGAAAAAATAAACTTTCAGTGTAGAACTACTGGTTATTATTAAAATACAGCGTTAAAGAGAAACTTTTCATTGCTTTATGACCATTTTTTTACTGTAGGCGTATAGGAAAATTGGGTATTTAAGCCCAATAGGTAATGTTGCTCCAACCACAATATCTCATCTTTAAATTAATTTTATAAAATACAGATAATAACAACATAATTTTAAACTAATTGGAGTTTATCAAAACCATAGTTACGGTTTTACAAATATTATCAATATTATTATTATCCATATCATTATTATTTCATATGCCTTCCATGTAATATTTACACCTAACCATCTTAGTGTAAATATAAGTATATTATAATTTACGGTAAAAAATATGTGCAGCTAATGGTGACGAAAAACGATTCAGAGCAAAGTTTCTTTTATACGTGTACGTAAATTTTCTGTTTTTCCTACTTTTTTTTTTTTTTTTTATTTTCAATTATTATGAAAACCGTTTTGAAAATCAAATGTCATCTTTAAGTACCGACTAGACACGATTTTCTTTCGGAAAAGACATCACACTTGATACATCGGAACAGGACTTCTGGTATAAAATTACCAAGAGAAAAATAAATAAATAATCGTTGTAAAACCGATAAATTACTCGACACTCTCTGAATTAAAAACCATTAACGTTCAAGTACGAACACAAATGAAAATGTATAATATCGCCCATCTAGGACGGCAATACTCGGTGGTATTAATTTAACACGCCGGGTGCCGCGGTCGACAGTTTGTGCGGGCATCTTTACGGCCTTATAATTTACTCGGTTATCGGAGCAATTTTACCGTTTTTATACGCGGTTATTCGGCGAAATGTCTACTATAGTCAACTATAGGTGCATTTGGATTTTATTTTCGTTTATTTTTAACAAAGTAATGGTTATTTTTTCCGGGAAATCGCCGATGACAATACAACATTACATACATCTCAATTGTCCTTTTAATATACAGTTGAATAGTTGTTGTTAAATATAGTATTGGCACCGCCATAAATTATGATTTATAATCGAAAATAATCCCAAAGAATTTACGTCATTATACCTATTATCAATTCGTTTACTAGCCTATTACTACAACAGCTATGAAATAATTGTGCGCGTCCATTAGCGCGTTTACCGCGCCATAGTTTTCGGTTATCTGTTATCTACTGTTTTGGTGTACATCCGATGCGCATTATTATTATTATTATACCGATTTACGACTTTATTTACGCAAGTACAAATATCTTTATAAATCGTATACATTTTATTTATCACATAAATGGGATTCATTTCAAGGTACACCGAGTAGGTCTCATAAATCGTTCAAAGTTACCGGTTACAAAAAAAAAAATACGTTTATCCGATCATGATATTTCTGAAATGTTCGAAGAACCATTGTCGTCTGATGAAGAGTTTTTACATGACTCGGATACAGATTTAGGCGAAGGCGATTCAGCGGACGATATTGTAGATTATCATGTAAATGAAGAGGTTTTGCAAAATGTGTCCGAAATTGAAAGTGACGTCGTCAGAGAGGTAAGTCCTTTGCGTTTAGATGATTATCGATCAAATGCCAATACAAAACGAACTTCCTTCACTTATAAACTCTCCACCTAAAATGTATGGACGGAAAACTAAGAAGCCGACAAATTCACAAACACATAATAATATTTGGTAATACAATTCCCCAGATTTGGACAGTTTTTGAAGACAATACCGGATTAAAAATAAAGCCTAATGGTGATAAACCAATAAATTTGTTTGATTTACTATTGACCGATGATTTGTATGACTTCGTCCTTGAGGAAACAAATAATTATGCAGCTGAGTTATACTTGACTAGGTCCGGTAATAAATCTCGAATTTCAAAATGGACCGAACTTACCAAAAACGAATTAAAAGCTTTTTTCAGATTAATTTTTCATACAGGCACGATAAAAATTCCTCGGATGACTGATTATTGGAAAACTGATAAACTTTTTAATTTAAATTTGCTTTCGCGACGTTATGAGTAGAAACAGGTACATGTTGATAATGCGTGCGTTACATTTTTGTCGCAACTCTGAACCTGGTGGTTCTAAACCTAGTCGATTATACAAAATTGACGAAGTTGTAGAGTAGGGGCGTGTCCAGCGGGTGGGCCTGATGAGCCACCCTGATTTTTAGCTTTTAAGTAAACCCAAATAAATTATTTTTCGTATTAAACACACCGAACACTGAATGTAAAGCATGAATACAACATCGGCGTACTGCACAGGTACACGTATACGTTAGTATACATATATATCCGTTATAGATTATATTTTGTGCCGTTGTACCTATTTATAAATAAAATTAATAAACGTAAAAAGCAATCGATGATCCTTAAGCGCTTCTAGGAAAAATATTCATCCACGAATAGCCAACAACCATATTGATATATTATGTGATAAAAATTAAAAAAAAAAAAAACATTTATTAGATAAGTATGCCACCGATGTTATACGATTACGACTGTCGTCGTAATAAATACTCTACAATGTAGAGTATTTAAACAATCGTAGGCTCGAAGTATATTAACCATCCAAACAAACAATTGTCCTTGGACGAGTCAACAGTCCTTAGGCATGGCCGATTAGTTTTCCGCCAATATATTAAAAATAAACGCCAAAAATATGGAATAAAACTTTATATGTTAACCGAACTTATATTAAACTTACTCACGGACTTATATTGAATATACTTATTTATCTGGGCAAGGTACTGATAGTACACCTGAACAAAGTCATACAGGTAACATGATATTATATATATTACATTTTGTATCATATTATTTAATTTAGATTTGTATTGTATTACTATTTTACATGATAAACGTATTGTATTACGTTTAATTATTATTACAACGTAAAATTAATTAGATACTAAGCAATTGCAAGTGGCATCATGATTTTTTTTTTTACGACGTATTTTATTTTTTACGTTTGTATAGAAAAATATTTTATTAAAAAAAGTAATTGTGAGTTGAATTTAAAGTGTACTTTATTTAATAATATATTGTATTCGAAATTTTAATACTAAATAATATTAATGAATTGGTATGTAGAAAAAACAACGATAGGTAGGTATTGCTTTGGGGGCCGACACTTGGTCGACCGACGTAATTGCGGGACCGAATTCGCGCGGATTCTCGGTCAACGGTCGTTGTATACTACGAGACATTCAACGTGTTAAACAAATATCACGAGTACAATTTTGTTTATTAACTTAAATTATCTTTTTGTTTTGTGACTTAAGTGAGTAATAAAAAAGCATAGACAATGTCCAGCTTGAAAAGGCTATTATTTACGACGAAGGTAGGATATAGACGGGAATGTATATCTGTATGCAACGATTAACTATTGCTAGTGAAATAACTATTCTGAGCGGAGTTCGATTGAAAGTATTGCTTTGCCAACAATATGTCATATTATAGTAAAATAATTACATATACATTAAATATTTTCTTTAATAATATTTGTTTAATACTGTACCAATTTTCCAAATGTACCTAAGTTTGTTCCCACCCATCAAAAAATGACCTCCCTAAAGTATTTCCCGAGATATATTTCCTATTAGAAAAAACGCTATCATTGTAAATCATCGGAGCAAGATTTCTTGCTGAAAAGTTGTTCAAATAAAAAAAAAAAGAAATACAAAGACCTAAGCTATAACAACTACTTTTACACAAAAAAAAAAGTGTTATTACCGACGGAAATATTTGTTTAATTTGAAGTAATTCATTAAATCTAGAGACCATATTATAAAAACAAACATGAACTACTCACTCGGTGGTCCAACTATAAGTGCATATAGGCCGATGACCAGACCTGCAGCCCAAAGACTTCGAATTGTGGATCCATAGAGAGCCGCTTGTAGGGGGTCGTACACGTAAGATGGATGATAAATTAACGCGCCGCTAAACCACGTTGTCGAACACACTAGTGCAGAAATCGCCAACAAAATCCAAGTGTTCGTCTGTTACCGTAAGTTGAACATAAACAATATCGTATTTAAATATTAATAAATTTTAATTTGTTTGCCTCGTAATTGCGTAAACGAAAATATATAATAGATTGTAAATTCTGAATGCTCTTGTATCAGCGTAGGTATACGTAGGTCTACATAGATTCAATTTGAATAGGATTTAAACCTTAGTTACATACACCATTGGATTCATAATTTCCAGTGACCGGGCATACATAAGTACTTTTTTTCTTTTTTTCAAAATAATGCTTATGCTGAATTAGTAAAACTAGTAAAACTACTTTATTTTAAATTTAGAGTAAAAATATCGTAATATGAAATTTATAAGGAACAATATTTTGAATGGAATGTCATAAGCGTTTTTTGAATTATGAACTATTAAAAAAATATTCAGTTATTTAAAAAATAAAAAAAAGGTTTTTATCTATTATATCGAGCTGTATATTTTGAATAATACAAAAACCCTACGACATTCCCTCCAAAATATTGTTCCGTATAAATTTCGAAAAGTCGGCTATCTAGTTATTTTATATTATATTTATTGCCATATTATTTACCATGTTTAATTTACTGGTACTGTTCTTTCTTCTGTACAACAAGTAACCAAATATAACGCCAACTATATAAGGTCCAGCCCGGGCATGCGATTTGATGTATATCGTCATGAAGTAATCGTCATTTGTCGGATTTGTAGTGAAACTGAAAATACAAAAAATATTTAACCGTTAAATACGCATAATCTATCCTTAACTAATAAAATATGATGGTAACATAAATAATAAAAAATTAATAAGGGTGAAAAAAAATCATTATTCGATATTCTAAATGAATACAACATACAACATACCAATATTTACATTTTCATCTTTTTTCGTAAATCAATTGGAAATTAAATCTATAGTTTACTGATAATTAACAAATATTATCATCGTAGAATTACCTACTTTTTTGTGTAAATTAAAGTAGCTAGAACTGCTAGGTAGATAATAAAGTGGTTAAGATTCGCTAGATAGCTGTCATGACTAGTGCAGAATATAAAAATTTCAAATAAAACCCTATTTAAGACGTTTAAAAAATTTGATTTTTTATTAAACTTGTTGCCGTCGCCATTACTGACTAAAAACGTGGCAATTAATAGAAAAGTATCACTGCGTTGGCTACTATATTAATTTTTCAACTATAAGTCTGTTTTTCTAACCAATATACAAAATGCTATGAACGAAAAGATTAAAATGCCGAAAAAATTCTTATTAAACTTACAAGTCGGAGATAGTCTAGTAGTGGAAATGCACGAAGGTGTCTTTTATTTAAAAAAAAAAAATATTTATTATTCAATAAATTATTATTACTCCCTAGGAAATATAACTATTGAGTTACAATTTTAAGGACGAAAAAATACTACAATTTAAATAAAAACTTAAACAAAACAATAAATAACTTCTTATATTTATGTATAAAAAACATGATCCTATATAAATATTCCGTCTCTCTCTAACTACATACAACTTTAATTCCTCACTCCTACGAATCATGATGACCGCAAATACTAACTCCTCTTTATCATTACTAGTTTGAGTCAAAGTGATAAATTATAATATTTCTTGTTAACTTTTTCCGTCATTAACTTGTTTTGGGCTCAAATAAAATAATAACACTTAAACATCCCAAATCTGTACACGCCTTCATTTCGTCAACGACGATGCATACTTAGGTGAAACATTTTAACTGCCTCAAACTTTGATAAAACTATTAATCATCGACATGATATTGGTTGAAAAAATATAGTAAAAAGAAGAATACAATGCGGTTAACTGCTCCTCAAATTGAATATCGCCGTGAAAATAAACCTTAAGTTCTAAAGGAATTTTAAAAATATTTAGGAAAAAAAACTGTCTGGATTATTCATTTTTGCTTTGTATTATTGCATTTTTGTCATTTTTATCCTTTATTCCTAAAAGGTAGTTCCAATGGATGTCCTATATTATATTTTTTCATACTATTATTTTATTTTTTTCTCCATCATTGTCTTTTTACTTGTTGTATTTACATACATGTAAATTTATTAAGCTCAACTAAAAAAATAACATAACAAAAAAAAAAAACCAGTAGATATTGACGAAAGTCTAACAGAAATGCTTAAAAATATAGTAAATAATACGTTAAGTAAATAATGCAAACCCTACAAATATGTTAGCGGGGTACTTCTAATGGTGTTCATCAAAAGTAAAACAATAAATATATCTAAAAAGAAGAAATTCAAACTTTATAGAAATTTTTGAGCGATAGCTCTTCTATCGCACGTATCCAAAATACTAAACAACCGAAACGTTAGGGAAGTGATTTTAAGAAAAAAAATAAGCCCGTTTTAGTATTGAAAATTACATTATAATACTAGTCCCACCTTTTCGGACTATGCTCGTAACCCAAAAGTCTATTTCATGTGTTTATCCTTTTTTTTTTTTTAGAACAAAGAATTCATAATTTCTGTCAACGAAGTGATATAAACATGAAAACAAAATAATAATATTCATGGTTTACGTATATTCACTAAAACATGCGATTGTTATATATTTCCAAAATATGACAATTTAGTGTTATCGTTATTTTTTTAAATTTTGATTCTACTAAGACGTTAGTATATTGTGGTGAACTATTTTTTGGGAGGGACTATGCTATTTTTTAAAGGTTTTTAGTGCGTTGAGTTCATATCTCAGCTAGAAATTCTGTCGGACTTCTACTACCTCACGACTTAAAAGTTTAAACTTCACTTAAATCGATGATTTTTATAGAAATTCACGGCGAACATTCTTAATTTACCGAGTTCCATTCACTCTCGAATAACTAGTACATTTTTAATAGTTTAAACAAATATTTTTACCAAGGTGTAGATTTTAACTGAGACACGACTTAACACATAGGTATTTATACAGGATATAGTTTTTAATGCAATTAGTAAAAAAAAAAAAACTATTTTACTTTATTTGAGTAAATGATATATTGGTATCCAAAATAAATTACGCAAAAAAATAAATAGTCTCACTCAGTATAATATTATAAGATTAGTTTTTAAAATATAATGAAGATACAATATTTAAATATTCTATATATCATTGTCTATTACTTAGAATTTACAAATATCCGGATAAACATCAGGCGATATAAAAAAATAAAATATATATTGGTTTCATGTGTAAAAAATGTAAATAGGTACTTACTCCATGTTGAATTGAATATTTGCCGGTTTTTGTCCGATATACGTAAGTACGAATGGTATGGCAATAGAAATAATCATCAAGGTGGAAGTTAAATACATCCCAACTTTAGGTTTTTTATGCAGTGCGTACGACAATCCAATACCAATTAACGTGAAATGAAATTCACAAGGCATGAACCAAGTATGATAACCACACTGAAAAACGAAAAATTACCAAAGTTAAAACCGAATTAAAGTTATAGTAATTTTAAGTATAGATTGACGTGAAGAAAGGTATACAATTATAAACTATCGATCAGTTGTCAAGACTTTAAACTAAACTAAAGGTGGTCATCCTTTTTCTATATTGTACCAAATAAAAAAAAAAATTAAATTAAATTTGTTTAAAAAAAGTAATACTATAACTAATTAACAATTGCGTATAAAATTGTATTATAATCATAACTACTACATCCAAATCAATAGTACAGAGAGAAGATACGAATACGAAATACGAAAAACTGTTTCACACGATTAATTTCGTACAATACATAAAGGTTAGTAGCTAAAGCATTCATGAACTTCATTTCGCTGTGGCACAAGAATATTATTATTATTTTTTTTTTTGGTTAAGATGCAACTATTCAGTTTTTGAATGTTCGCTGTTATTTTACACGATATGAGCGATTCTCAGAAAGCTAAAACTGATACGCCAATGCAGAAGCTTTCTTATAATCTTAACAATAAAACTAACTCTTGACACAATCTGATGTTTATTATTGATAGTTGAGTAATTTTTTAACGATTTAAAAAAAATTCTCGTGTGTAAATTTTCATCTGATATACCTAAACTAAAAAAAAAAAAACATTTCATTTAAATTAAAATAATATTCAATTTATATGTTCATACAATTTAGTTTAAAACTTTAATTATATTCAAACAACGATTAAGGAGTCAGTATTTTTAGTAAAACTCATCCGAAAAAAAAAATTCCGACGTAATATGTATATGTGAAACCAAATGTACAAATCATTTTTAACACCAGAATATTATGTAGTTCTATAAAATCTATCTTGGGTGGACATTTTTAAAATTCTATAATTTCGTCGACAAACAAATCTTTAAATTTACGTTTTAAAATGTTGAAATAATTGAAGACTAAGTATTCGGTATAAAACGAAGTATATCATTTTTTTTCAGCGCAAGTGTGCCGTTCAATAATATAGAATATGTCATAAAAGACACGCGTGCCACAGGGTGATTATCCCTGAACTAATAAACGCTATAATCCCACTATAAGTCTGATACAACGTTAAGGCGTATACAACATTCTGTCTTTGAACCTTAGTGTTACTATTTTAAAAATCAAAAGCCGGTTAATTATATTTCTTCGTAGACAATCTTTATGAATTTTCGATAAATGTTAGACACGACTGTGTAGTCGTATAGTTACCGTTTTGTCTGTCTCAACGTAATTATTTAAATACAACAAGTTTATCCACCACGTTTGTTGACAATTTTTTTTATCCGTTCCAATAAACGCTTCCCACAAAGGACCGGATCCCATTTTATATTGAAGCGTGGCGAAAAAGAATATAATCACAGCGTATACAGGGGTTAATCTGAAAATCAAATAATTTAAATTAAGAAGGGCATATTTTAGACAGTTATTTTATAAGAAATATCTCACCTGAAATATTTGAACACTAATACTTTAAATGGATGAATAAACGATTTTTCAAGACGGTCAAGTAAGATAAGAATCATTAGAGCACCACTTACAGCGAAAAACGTATCCACTAATAAGTCCATGTGAGATGTAAATATTGAAATAAAATAATCATAAAACACCTGTTAATGGTGGCATAAAAAATGTATACATTATAAGTGCTGTTATTTTGTAACATATTATAAATCAATATAAAATTGTAAAAATACGATTACAAAACACGTACTTGCTCGTTGACTTCGTAATTTTGTAAAGGACCCGGTAATCGAAAACCCCATCTGTGACCGATAATGATTAAGACCATTGATATCGTTGTAGTTCCGCATAAAGGTGTAAGATCCAGTCCTCTGACTACACAACTCTTGTGTTTTAAACTTTGCATGGCTCGTCTCCCAGAGAAGCACATTATTAAATCTACCGATTTCGATTCTGGAAATTTAAAAAAATTATTGGTAAATAAATGTACAAATAGACCTAAAATTACTTCTAATTGTAACGGTCCAAGAGACATAGGAGTAATTCTCTAATCAACATTTACAATAAAAACCAGGGAAGTCATTTGGGAGGAGGACAAGGAGTATAAATTTGTTAAGCCCTAGATTTTAAAGCAGATTACGGCGTACTGCCGAGTTCTCATGGGCTAAATGCCAAATAAACATGGACCGGCTCTAAAGCCATTACGGGCCGTGATACACCATACAAATCATGGTATATCTGAAAATGATCTATTGGTAAACGATAAGACAGATACAATTTATAAAGTTTGTTATTTGTATTATTAATATTCAACTAGGTATAATAATAATGACATTATGGACATTGGACTGGATTAATAGAAGAGGTGACAAAATAATGGTAAAGGGGGGTTTTTAAAGTCCTCCTATTAAGGCTCTAAGTTTTTAAATTAAATTTCCTACCAAAACAAAAATTATTTTATTTTTTAGATAAAATCGTACATAATATAAAAAAAAATACTTCATTATCATTCATGTGGTGTTAGAAAAATATATTTATAAATTAAATCCATTAGAGGGGGAAGGAGAATTAAATCCCTCTATTATATTTGCGTTTTTATATACTTTTTAAGTGATTTATTGTGGATTCTAAGAACATATAAATCCGGTCTCTACTTATAATTTAAAAATAATTGTAATGTTTTTCTTTTTCAAAGTAAAGTTTATTGAAGATTGTATGTTGATCTGAGTCACGATTCTTTATATTAAGTAAGATGTTAACAAAATCGGATATAATTGGCTTGATATAAATTATAAAAAAAAAAGTAGTTGTGGGACTTAGTAAGCAAAGTAACCAGATTTTTTTTTTGTTTTGTATGAACATAAGTTTTATTCTCCTTAAATCATTATTATGCGCTGCCCTATAATAGGGATGTGAAACCTCCGATATAAACCAAAATTGTCTACCATTGAATAGCTAGGAAAACACTAATTCCAAAATTAATTACTGTTAGGTGCTAGGTATGATTATGTTTTAATTACGTCAGAAATTTTAAATCGCCTAAAGGAAACCCAAGATAAAAAAAAAAAAAAAAAAACTTGTTGGAACTTCAGAAAAGTTGGTAGACCAAACAAACGATTACAAAACAAACAAGATATTTCAGAAGAAATTTCTAGTAGAAAAAAAGTATGCAATTTTTCAAACTCTGCTGATAATAATAAATCGTATTATGAAATAAAGTTAAAAAAAATATTGATTTCTTTTTTGTTTACAATTGCCCAAAGCAATTTTGTTAAAAACTTCTTGCGTTTCCACGCCTCTTTTTTTGTTCTAACTCATTTTACGAACTTTGGTCATAACCACCCCTTACATCGTATGATGCAGTTGACAAATATTTTCTATGCCAGTGTTTTTTAACGTATATTGTATATTTTTTGTGTAAATTGTTTGTTTTAACTCTATGCTATCACCAGCATGTGCTTATAGGAGGTAGATATTTTAATTTTTTTGTACCCTTTTTGGACCATATTAAACTATATATTATTGTTCTTATACAATAAAAAAAAGATTTTCATAAAAACAAAAAATACCTTGATTCCATTCCCATGCAGTTTGTTTTGAATATACAGCATAATCAAAAACTGTAGCGATTATGGCAAGTGATAACAAAACGGCAATGAGCAATCTGCGAAAGTAATTAATAAATTATTGTTGTGTTACTTCATTTAATATTAATGTTAATTTTGAATAAATAATAGTAATTAAATTAAAATGTCATTACACTTTCTACATAAACTCCCTATAGGTATATGAGTACATAACGATAACACAAAAAATCATAATTAATATTTCCGTGATGATAATAATAAACCTGATAATTTAAATGCTACGGGGTCCAGGATCCAGGAGGTATAGACTAACTTCTTTAATATTTTAAAAATGTCTAAATTATTTGCATACCAACATATAAATATTTTTAGTTAAAAATAGTAAAAATTCCAATTGATTATTTATTGTTTTATGTATACAACAAAATGTTTATATCTTCCAACAGATTTTTATTGATAAACGGCCATTACTATAAAGTTGGGTTAGGATTATAAGTAAAATTAAATTTATGTACGTAAATTAATAATATAAAATACGTTGTCCGCCAGACAGTCATTTATAAATCGCGCTTATAATTCATACAATGATGAAACTTTAAACCAGTTCGCTCGTCAAAAAAAAAAGTATTATTAGTTTAAAATAAATTGTATTTGAGTGTGGCTTATTTTTATTACTGTATTTTATTTTTTATGTTTTGTAATGTACTAGTTTAAACAATAAAGTGCACTTAAAGTAAATTATTAATTATACAAGGTTACAAGATGTCAAGGTAATTTTCTTTATATAATTATATATTTTATAAAAAGAAGAACACATTTTGTTTTGTCTGATTTTTATCCAAATATTAAAACTTAAATTTAATATTGGCTAAAGTTAGGTACATTATACATGTTTTAGACCTACTACAGAACAATTTTCTGGATATGGCCTTGCCTATAGATCATTCACCAGTGTTTCTTAATCTTTTTACTGCGACTCTCTAAATTAATATTTAATTTTTTAGCTACCCTTTAATATAGTGGTTGGTAAAGTACGGCCCGCGAAAGTATTTAATCCGGCCCGCCGAGGGTCCATCGACATGGATAGTATATGGCCCGTCATAATTACTCTCACGGTAACCCGGTCGTACTCTCACAGCGTGGTGTATGTAGATAGTAGGTACGATGGTATACAATTTCTATTTTTGTTCGTATTAATATATTTTCCGGATCTCGGTTTGGTGCGTCCATATCGTAGTTTTCGTATAATAATTGTGTAATGCTATCAGTCTTTGCACTGTCCTCATACCTAATTGTTATTCCTTGTGTTATTCTATTTACGTATAGTACGAATAGTGAACTCAGTCACTATGCTGTCACAGATCGAGCTGTACGTTTTACGATAATTTTGTCTCTTGTTCTTGCTTGTTTGCATAACACGCTTTATATTCATAATCGTTTAAAAGAAAATCTGTGCTTTTGGGATAATGGCGTATAAAAAACAAAAGTCGATTCCCAGTGTCGTCTGTTTAAAGAAGAGTGGGCTTGGAAATACTTTTTTACGGAATACAACTGTAAGCCAGTATGTCTTATTTATAATGAAGCAGTGGTGGTATTTAAGGATTTTAACCATGCTCGTCATTTCAACACCAAACATTCAAAAACCAAATATGCTTTGATGAATGACGCAAAAAAAAAAAGGTAAATGCGGAAAACCTAAAAAAACCAATATCTACTCAACGGAATGTGTTTATAAAGCAAAACACTGCTCATAAGGCTTCTACACTGGCTGGATATGTTGTGGCTTATAAAATAGCTAAAAATAACAAACCTTACTCGGAAGGAGAATTTGTAAAAGATTGTATGGTGAGTATGAGTAAAATTTTATGTCCAGAAAAAATTAGAGTTTGAGTCTGTCAGTTTATCGCGAAAAACAGTAACAACGCGAATTGATGCTATTGCATCAAACTTGTGGACTCAATTTAGGCAGAGTATAGAAAACTTTAAATATTTTTCCGTGACGATGGATAAAAGTACGGATAGAAGTGACACTGCTCAATTATTAATCTTCAAACAATTCCATATGTATAAAACGCCTACCATGGTTGGGCCTCCAAATAAAAGTTAAATTTATTATTATTTAAGGTAAAAGGTAATTTGTAACATTTCTGTATAATGCTGTAATGTTTTTATAATATTATGATTCAAAGATTTAATACAAAATGCATTTTTTCTATAATAATGGCACTCCTCTAAAATTTCTTAAACTTTGTGGCCTCCCATTAAAAAAGTGCTCACCACTGCTTTAATATATATTTGATACTTGGTGACCTAATTTTTTAAATTTTTAGCAACCCTAAATAATTAATTAATTGGCAACCCCTAGGTTAAGAAACACTGCTATAGACTATATAGTTGATACCTACCTAGGTAGTTAGGGTTGCTACCGCTCCGAGGTTCACTTAGATACTCCGGTTTTACATATAAATCTACGGGCTAAGGTTTTAGTGAATTATTGTCCGGGGTGTCGTAAAATTAGCACTATTCATATTATAATTGTACATTAACTTACATAGGCGTATTAGACACTGTAACGGTATTCTGTAACTCGATAAGGTATCTTAACGACAAATTTCGGTTCGTTAAGCCATCGAAAGTGTTCTTATTAAATATTATCTATAAAAGCGATTCTTTATCATAGATATTCGTTAGTCTAACAAATATTTTCATTAAAACTATCGATAGCGATAATAAAATGCCGAAAATTTAATACGCCCATCTTGATATCTCGGTAATACTTACCGAAAATGGATAAGAAGAAAAAATGTTTCCTATTATCATTTATCGTACCTACCTATTGAAAATTTTGATAAAAATAATTTTTTTTCTTACAATTGAATATTTTGTATTGTATTTTTTATTTTCGAAGTCAGTTTTAATATTAATAAAATATAATCGTTCGCATCAAGGCTCTTAAATTTTTAGCATGGGAACTTTGCAGTTGGAAAAAAGAGTTCAATTACAATCTCTTTCTTTTGTTTTAGCTTATCAGCCTGTCTCCAAGTCTACCATTTTTCAAAGGTGGCAACTCTATATATACTTATAAAAGGTAATGTGACTCGCACATTCCAATCTATGATTTGTTACATAGAACAGAATTTTGTAACATAAAAATGAAGAAAAAATTTAGATTCGGAGCTAAGCGAGGATGTATTAGTTTCATAATAATATTCATTTTTTTTTTTTCAAATTTAATTTTAACTTCACAAAATTGTTATCAGAAATCTTGCTCCGATGTATCAAGAACCTTTACTAAAAAGGAATTTGATCTAATAAGTTTTAGTTGGTACCTCAATATCATTTTTGATTTTCCTAACGGTTTTCATAATAGGAAAACCAAAAAAAAAAAAAATTAAATGTCACGGCCTTTCAAAATATGTAAAAGCAGATTTTGCTGTAAATTGTTTTTCATTAGCAATGGTTTATCATTGTGTACAGATAAAAATTAAATTCTCTTCTATATTTTACCTTCCCAACTTCTGACTTACAACAGTGACCCCCATGGTGCGAAATATGTAAGTATTTTTTAGTGTCCACACCTAATATTTATGTTTTTAAAAATTGATCAAACATTTTTTGTAGAGATCAATACAATTTTTACAAATTTTAAATCCTAGACAAATTTGTAGTCTATTAATTAATATTACTTTTTGAGTTATCAAAACATAATAATAATTATGAAAAATATGTTTAAAATGGTTTTATAATAACGAAATTAATCTATTTTAACTGTTTCTTGGTTAGCAAAATTCACGCGCTCTATTTAGTGTGACAACATGAATAGTATTTATAACTGCTGGCCAGTTTAAAACATTGAACTTTAACTTAAAGTTTAAGATAGCTGCGTTATCCTATTATGTCATTCTTTGAAACACCGTCGCAATTTCAAAAAAGTTTCTCTTTTTCAACATCTTTTTGAAATGTTCAATTCAGAAAACAACTTAGTTTGTTAAGATCATTATTATTATTTAAAGTGAATTTAAACAACAAACTGCTACTAGTCTATGTACCAAATATTTGATTTCCAGTCATGTACACTGGAAATTAAAAGTACAAGTCCCAAAATCTATAGTTATAAACCTTTACAATATACAAGTGAATTTTCAATAGTAAACACTTGTAAAAAGAAGAAAACTTAAGGGCCTTAAGGTCTTGTGTTGTTTACAGAATTTTATGAAGTTATTTACAATGTTTATTTCAGTAAAATCGTCATAATTTATAGGCTTTTGAGTATTATTTGAATTTATCGTGTTGGTTGTTTCATAAATGATATTTGTTTTCCGCATGATATTATAACTACACTTATGTATATATTTTAATGCACATGCGTAATGTTACAATTGAAACAAAATATTAAAAGAAAGTAAAAAATAAACCTCAATTTTTTTCTAATAATATATTGAGAAGACAAACACATAATTCACGAATTTAATAGTTCATTTAAAACCTTAATAGAAATTATGTGTAGAATAATTGAAGTGAAACTTATCTTGCAATTGATTTTCAGTTCTATGTAAATCAACTAAAAAAAATATCTATGCATAATACTTCAATGTATTTTATGTATAAAACAATTTTATTTTATTTGATAATACAAATGTAAATGTGTCTAAGTGTTTTGTAGGGTTCGATTTACATAACTTTTTGGTCGAAGAACGTTTAACTAATTAATTTTTGTATTGCATGATGCATTTTTAATTTACTATTCCAATATACAAATATGTTATTAATTAATATTAATTTAAAATTGTCGAAATACTATTATTCGGAATTTTCATAAAAACATAATAAATAATAATTATAGTATTTAAACCTCGGTAAATACATTTTTAAAATTAATAAAATTTAGTAAAAAAAAAAAAATTTATAATCGTCATTTGGCCGTCAGTGATTATATTTAGGTCTTCTAGTCACATACAATCACAAACCAAGGAAATCCAGGAACGACTATTATCTATTTGTCATTTATTTGTCACCTTCGACGAGAACACATCGTTACAGAAATTATAGTTTTGATTTCGTTTAATATAATACAGCGTATACCATTTATTTTTTACAGCTTTACATAAAGTGGTTCCTAAAGATGTATGGACAGATGTGTTTTAATACATTATTTTGTTAAGTATCACGATATTGTATAGGTACTTTATTTTACTATATCATAATAATATATTATCATGTAGGAGACTTCAAGTTAATAACTATGAAGATATCGTAAATAGTTTTCGCTGAAATATATGTGGGTTTTCACGAAGATTTAATGAAAATTATAGTATTCAATTAAAATGTAGTATTTTACATGTATAGTACATATTTTTTTTATATAATACTAAATTTTTTTTTTTTTTTTTTAATTTTATTTAATAAGAGATGCTAAGCGCATAAGCGTTAATAAATTTAATTTAATTTTAAACTACCAAAAAAAAAAAAATAGAACTAGGTTTAGGTAAGCAAATTGATGAGTACTTAGAAAATGATTTATAACTTCGATAAAATAATACTATGCCTGTTTTAAAAAAAATCGAATATATACGGTAGATAATATTATTACAGTCTATACGAGTAGTTACATAAATAAATATAAGTAACTAGTTTCGAGGAAGGTCTATGTTTCTAGGTTATTGGACTTGTCAAAATAATATCATGTTTCAGGTTTAAACTTCCGACTCTATATACTATACATATATATATATTGAAAAAAATAATATAGAGACATTTTTCTTTTAAAATAACATTCCTTTAAAACCGATGAAATTATTATCTTAACAAACAAATCACAATTTGACTGTGGTAAAATTTAACCAACAATACTAGTCAGGTGTATTTTAATAAAACAAATAATATTTTTTACGTAAATGTTTATCATCAACTATATTACCAAAACAATCTAAAACGATAATTCTGGTTTATTATCTCGACAATCGGAATTTCGTATACTAATGCGATACTTAATTAAGAATGCTCAGACTATCTATGCACACTAATTCATAAGAGCTCTCAATAAAGACAACAGCGTTAAAATTATGGAAATTCTTATTGAAATAAACATTATATAAATAACTTGTCAAATTCTGTAAGTAGTGTAGCCTTAACCCAAACATTGTAAACTCATATGTAAATTATATAAGCTAGTAACCATAGTATGTTAGACGCTTAGCCTTTCCTATTAAATTAAAAAAAAGAAAAAAAAAAAAAAAAAAGATATTATGTAATTTANTAGCCTTTCCTATTAAATTAAAAAAAAAAAAAAAAAAAAAAAAAAAGATATTATGTAATTTACGTAGGCACCAAAATAACTATGTATGTATCGTCGATTTTCTATAGTAAAACGCCGTGGAATAGAACAAATAAGACAAAAAGTACAAATATAATATTTCGTTGGCAGTATGCAAACAGAAAATATTCTACAAACATATTTGCACAAGTGAAAACTTTACGATTATTAGTAATGGAAGTTAACACGTACAAATGGAAATTTAGAAAACGTTTCATTACCCGTTGTTGGTCGAGTATGAATAAAATTGCACTGTAGCTTTACGGACGAGTATTTTTCATGTATGTGTACGTGTCAACTTCTCATTTAGGTAACTCCAAATACTATATCGTATTGTTTTTATCATGATCAATTTTAATTTTGATATAAATTGCGAATCGTATTTTCTATAAACTGTGATGGCACACATTACAAATACTTTCTAACAATGTCGTTGGATATTGTATTTCTTTTTTTTCAATTCTGAGCGAAGCGTGGAATGCATTGGTTTTATTATGTATGTGATTTTTTGTTCTATCTTTAAACAAATTTTCTACCAGAAATCTTGCTCCTATTAAACAATTATGGTTAAACTTTTTCAGTGAATTCGTTGGCTAACTAGATTGTGGATCTAGTTAGTGTATTGGGCTTTTTAATTTTTTAAGTAGTTTTTATAGTAACTGGAACATCCGTAAAGGTAAAAGTGACAAATTTCGAACAATACGGCACTTTTATTATTTATAATTTTACCAAAAATCTTGTTGAATTTCAAGAGCATCTTCTCTGAAAGAAAATGTTGTCTTTTTGTTGAATAAGAATTTTAGAGTTTTCTTAATAATGAATTAAAATTAGAAAAGTTTACTATTAAATTAGTAAACTATTTTTTGTTTATTTGCTGTCGCAACTTGATTAGAAATAATCATAGGGACATGCAATTTTAAAAATATTCTACTGGTTTTAGTTTTTATGCAGATAAAATTGTTTGAACCGAACAGAAATATGTGTAAATTTTACTAATCATCATAAAATATACAGCGATCGAAAAAAATTTTTATGAGTAATTAGTCGTATTTTATACGGCTTAATGTTTAAATGTTAAAGAAACATTAGCCTAAAAATAAGGAAAAATCTATTGAAGACATATATATGGAGTATAGCCCTCTATGGGTGTGAAACCTGGACAATAACAACGGAAAACCAAAAAAGGCTAGAATCGTTTGAAATTTGGTGCTACAGAATAATGTTGAGAATAAGCTGGATGGACAGAGTAACAAATAAAAAGGTGCTAGAGAGGATATCAAAAAAAAAATTAATATGGAAAAATATAGTTAAAAGACGAAACGAATGGATAGGCCATATAATGCGACACGAGGGACTACTAAAATTGATCATAGAAGGATGCATAGACGGGAAGACCAAGACTAGAATATATTCAACAAATAATTAAAGACCAAGGATGCAACTCATACGTAGAAATGAAAAGGAAAGCGGATAATAGAGAAGAATGGAAGATGGCTGCAAACCAATTTGCGGATTGAAACTATAGAGAGAGAGTTCAAATGTTGACCAAAATCGTAAAAATCACGGTATTTCAAAACATATTTAACTGGACTTCGCACAGAATGGTATTTCGTTAGCATTGAAATTACATAGAAATATAAACGAGATATATTTATGTATCCATCTTTCATAATTTTTTGCCAATAATAGTGGCACGTTTATCAGCATCATCAAGTATTTTATATATTTTAGGTAAATTTTGATGTAAATTGATTAAATTACCACACACCAAACCAATAATAACTTACTTAAATCAAGGTTTTAATATCATTCGGAATATTTTGTCAATTTTCTTATAATACTACAGAACATATTTTATTGACGTATCATTTTCTGCTTCATTTAGTATTAATCACGTATTTTAAAGTTCAAACCATAAGTGGGATATTTCTATTTTCTTAGCGATCAAAATACAACTCTCGAGGAGATATTACCACTACGATTTATGAAATGTTTTGCTTTTCAGTGAATTAATGCAAAAGTCGAAGGACAATGACGACGGTGTGAGCAATAATAATTAATGATTATTAGTAGTGTACGGAACCCACAACCAGTGGCGCTGCGTGCATGTAAACACTGTACGCACAGCTTACACTTAAAAGTCAAAAAGTAAAAAAGAAAATTGATCTTTCAAGATTAAATATAGGGTACATTATAAATGATTTGCAAAATTATATTTTTATTCATTCAAATATATTAGAAGTCTTAGAGGTTTTCGTTATAGTCACCACGTTACCCGCCGATCACCAACCTACCTACTTTTATTTTCCACGAAGTGACAGTATATTTTTGATTTATTGTGTTGTCGGCTTATCGTACCTACATCACGTGTAACACGTTCTGAAATCGCTTACGTGCAGCCATTGTTTCTGCATGGGCTAGTGTCATGAAGAGGGACACGTATTAAGCTAGCGTTTGTAAGCACGTTTGATTTTGCTTACGCGAGTAGCGACCAGCACCGACGCAACGGTACAACAATCAATACAATTTATAATTTAGTTCTTTTTTCAACGTTTGTATATAATATATAATATTGTTGTCTCATCACCACATCGGTTCCCCATGTTCTTAAATTTGTAACATGGATTCGTTAGTAAGTACTTCAGATTTACAATTAAACGATAATAACTATTGTCAATGTGTTATTGAACTGTTGTTACAAAAATCTTTTGGATCTAACTCATTTTCTGTAAAACAAAATATTATAAATAAAGAAAGGCCTACTCAAAAAGTTCAAAATTCAAAATCTAAAAGCAAAAAAATATTTCGATATTTCAATTCGTCCACTGTTGGCCTTGTCTTTTATTTTCACGTGAGTCAAATGTTTAGTCAAAATTTGGTTGTGATGATTTAAATAATTATCAAAGAAATTTGGTAATGTTAGAATTGAAACATGTCTTAGTGAAACTTATAAAAAAAATATCGAAAAACATAATGAATCAATAACAAATAATCGTTATGTTTGTAAGTAGGTTAATTGATGCAACATGTTATTTGGTCAAACACGAACTTTCGTTTCGTGGACACTTAGATCAAATAACTTTCACAAATCGGGGTAATTACGTCGAGTTGTTAAATTTGATGGAAACACTTGATCTTAAACTAAGTGGATATCTTTCGACTTTTTAATATTTTACCTCAGGCAACATTTTTTTTTTTTTTTTAATATAATGCAAATAAAAATAATTAATGTGATTTACTGTAATACAAAAATTTTAAATTTTATTGAAAAATATGAGGAATAATTTTAATCAAATTTGGTCCAAGTCTGAACAGTATTTAAATACCGAAATACCATTAAGATCAAAAAGACAAAAAATAAATGAAGTTTCTGAAGTCAAAGAAACCAAGAACGCTATTTTATGAAATCATTGATGTACTGATCTCATCAGATATCAGATGATACGACTAATAATGAAAGATTTTCCGAAATGTCCAACTTAAAATTCTTTCTATTATTAGATTTTCAAAATTGAAGCAGTTTGAAAATCAGTTTCCAACAAGTTCTATAAACTCGTTGAAATATTGAACATTTTAATTTTTACTAATAAGTGAACTAACAATTGTATATTCATCAACCGAATTTTATAAAAGAAATATTCACAACGAACTAAATTACAAAATAGACTTTCAGCGTTGTCGATTTTATCATTTGTAAAAAAAAATTACTGACCGAAATTCAAAAACGCCCAGACAAAAAGATTTAAATTTTAAATGAAATATTATTAAATCGAATTTCACTATATATAAAAACTTAGGTTTAATTAAATATATATTATATCTTTAACGTGTATTACAAATTGTCTTATGTTGTTATATTTATTAAAAATGATAAAAAGGACGAATTTTGTTTATTTTTTACAATTAGTATTCTAGTGACTTTTGAAAAAAATATCGCTGCTTACATCCTTTTAATACCCACGCCACTCCACTCCACTGCCCTCAATAATAGAACCTAAGTTTTTCTTTATTTAAAATCTATTTACATTATTATGTATATAGAAACATTCGATGAAAATCGAAGGACAATATTATTATTGGAACTTACACAAATGCGATATCGTAAACCGAGTATTCATCTCCGGGACGATGTGCCTGTGTACACATATTTTCGGCCACTGATAGATTTTCGATTACGTTCAGCGCGTTTTCATTCGCGTACGATCTGAGATATGTCTGCACATCCGACGCTGAACATGACGCGGGCACGCACAAAGCCCATTTTATCATATCCAAACGCTGTTTGAACCTTGCTCCGCCGTACTGGTATGTAATAAAATAACAACGAAGGTTAACATTTAAATTTTAATTGACAATTTTACACATAAGTATTTCAAAGATTGTAACATTTTATGGAATATATTAGTAAAACGATTTTATGAATACCGAGTACTTGAATATTGTAATATTATACAAACATATACAAAGTGATTCAAAATGTATGTGGCAAAAACTTTTCGATTTATACACATCCAAAATAATTTTTATATACATATATTTTTTTTTTAAGGGGGGGGGGATTTGTTGAATTCTATTAAATAACTACGGCATTCAACTTATTAAGAAGGTACGCTCATAATCTCGGAAAGTATTAACTTTTTTTGAAATTCGTATGTTTAAAGTATATTTCAGTATATCGATTGAGTTTACAATTTGTACGGGTACAGATAAAAAAACGTCTCATCGTTAACTACAGTAGGTACCTTCAAATCAAGGTGATGAACGTTTTCGTAATAAAATAACTAAATGATTATAGAACTTAAAAAGACAATTTTATTTAGGAAATCAAAATTATCTTACATACTAGGTACAAGTATAAACTTTAATTATAGATATACCGAATGTAAGATTGTTCAAACAGTATTATATAATTCTAATTTCTCATTAATTGAAATAATTTTTAATAATTGGTCATATTATTAAATTTATTTATCGACAGTGAAGTAAGTTTTTTATTAATAAAAACTATTAAGGTAGTCCAAGCTTATTTCCATCGAATGGTTGTAAAAGCCCCTCGGTACTATTTCTAATAATCTATATTCTATCTATACTTAACAAAAACCTCAGAATCAAAACCGTTAATAATATCACTTCAATGTTCTATCGGAGGTTACATACCATAAAAGCCTCATCACGAAGGTGGTGCACAGACTACCAAGTGAGTAATGTAACTGTATGCATTTTAGGTACTACTACTTTTTGTATCGTTCATTTTCTTGTTTCGCCAATATTTATTACTTAGTTATTTAAAAAATTACAAGAATAATCAAAAAATGATTCTTTTACTTCCCCAATCAATTAGACAAAATTGAATTCCAGAAAAAATGTTACACTTGATGATCAGAGCAGTTCACAAAAAAAAAAAAAAAAACCCAGTAAAACCATTATCTACTTTGTTACAATAATAGTAAGTAATTATTTGTCTGATTAATGGTTTGTAAACTTACGGTTTTTTTTTTTATATATATAAATAATGTAATAAAAATATGCAACTCTGACTAAGAGTAATCGAGGACGATATTATATTAAGGTGAGCAACAACTTACTAACAATACTTTCTTTGCATTAACTATAGGTATTAGATACATATAGGGTGCAGTACAAGGATTTTAATATTGTATTTCGGCAAACAAGTTATATTTATTTTACTGTAGTACACTACAAAGATATAGCTACGAGCATATTATTATGGTTACTAATTACATTATCGTTATTACGTTATAAGTATTTAAACATATTGTATAATATGTACTAGTCTCAAAACACCTCAAAATATTTAAAAACCATAAAGTTTACTAGTAAAACTAATTTTACTAGTGTTCGTAAGATTTCTATTACATTAGTAACAAATATTTTTTTACTAATTTACTAATGAGTATTATTCATGTCTAGTATAAAACAGATTAATTTTATAATAAAATATTAAAGTAAAAACAAATTTATTAAAATTGTTAATACTTGTTAATAAATATATAAATAAAAAATGTATACATAAAAATAAAATAAATAAATGAATCAATGCGTCGTCTGGAGTGTAAAAAGTGTTCCGAATTAAAAATTCATCATAAGGTATATCGCAGTCAAAATGTAACACGCGACTGAATATAAAAATTAAATGAAGACATAGAAAAAAAAAAAATTATACAAATTGGTCGTTTTACATATAGAATATAGAAATAATTTATTTTAATAAGAAAATGGATTTTAATACAAATTTCCCAACTTTTCACCTACAATAGTGACCCACCCATGCGAAGTATGTCCCTTTGTTTTTAATGTGATTATTTGGATAAAAACTATTTTTCATTAAAAATTAAATGAAAAATGAAAACTAGGTACAAATAAAGTAAATAAATAATTTTTTATAGTTATTTAAAAGCATTTAAAATTGTCTAGTATATTTAGGTTCTCTGTTTTATGTAAATACAATTTTTTTGGTTGAACAGAAATAATTGAATATTTTTGTTGGTTTATCATAAATTGTAGTAATATAAGTTAAAAAAATAATTGAGCGTAATTTAGTAATATTTGATACGTGTTCAATGTTAAAATTTTAACATAAACCGCGGTATTTTAAAAACATGTTTACCGAATTTCGCTCAGAATCGTATTTCGTGAGCACTGATTCATGTATTCTTGATTCCCACCTGTAGCACGCCCACCTCTGGTAAATCAGTTTTTTATTTTAATAGACTTTAGTTTTGAATTATACGTTTTGTATTTGTATAAATTATAAAGTTACACTCACAAAAATTTTGTTCCAAGCCGACAATAACGGGTCATACACTCTAGCGAACGGATCCGTGTGGGAAAATTCAGACGGTACATTGAGTTTGATGTCGACGAGACAATACTGTGCGTTGAACGGTTTGGATACCTGTAGGCACTCGTCAAAGTCTCCTAGCTGATATCTGTTTCCGGACAATAAACCCACTGCTTGTTTGGCCGACGCGTCCCACACTATAACAGAATGTTATCATCATAATAAATATATTATTAATGTTAATTGGATATTTAATTTTTTATTAAGTACCAAATACTAAGTACTAAGTGTAGATTTTGCAGGGAGTTATTGTTTACATATTATATAATTTTTATTCAAACAAAGCAAAGCACGGGCAATTCTCCCCGGGTTCGGTTATTAGGATAAAAAATAAAAATTATCGAAATGCAACAGTTGGTATTTAGGTGGTTGAGTTCAATTTAAAACAAAAATTAAATTCTGATTATCCCATAGAGAATATAATATTTTATTATAGGTATTTAAATTGTTTTGTAGTAAATCGAATGATGATTCGATATTTTCGCAAGTAGTGAAAAAAATAAAACTGAAAAAATCTATTTAAGCATAGGAAGTGTACATAATATTATTCTTATATACATTAGTTGTGAATACGTACGCAAACCTACTTATAAACTTGAAGTACCTACCTATGTACAAATTATAAATAATGCTGGGTCATTATCCAAAAACAGTAAAAAACTCTTAGAGCCAGTTTTTTTTTATTTAAATAACTTGCATGTAGCAGTTATCAGTTTTTCGATGTGTCGGACTTTTATTTTAACGTCGGTTTTAATTCAAACCACTGTGGATACATGTTTCTTAACTTTTTCCTAACAATTGGGCACTACCCATAGTATAGATGTGAAGCTGATAAAATTTAAAAAAAAAAACCGGCCAACAATCTTTACTCTGATATTGTTCAAGTTTAAAAAAGATTAAAAACAAGTTATACAACATTGAAATTTTTAATTTTAAGTACATGCCCACAACGCTTGGCTATAAAATTTAAAAAAAAAACTGTTGGACAACTTTAAAAATTGTACATAAAAGAAAATATGGTGCTGAAAAGTTAGCATCTCATAACGATTAAATAAATCAATATTGCAGTTATTCCATAAAAATCTCAAGTAAACAATCCAACAAACTTTTTTTATCATATTTAACCGTTTTAAGCAAAAAACAAAATCACTTCGAACCTTTTTACATATTTTAAACATCATTTTCGCCCCAGCGCTATAAGTGTTTCTAATAATACGATATCTACACAATTTTTTTTTCATATTTTCAATCCTTTTCCCTCCTTAGTATTGATGTTAAATAAGTGTATTTTTGCTAATGTAAGCCACTTATTTTTATACGGAAGTCGCTGTTAAGTAACTTTTCGCACTTATTCTCAAGGCATTGATTACTTCTAACCTTGCCCACATGAAACAAAGCAGGTAAACGGATTAAAAACATGCAAGTTTTGACACGAAAGAAAATATCTATACATAAATTCCTACACGAACAGAAATAAATATCATTATATTCAGAATCATATTCACTATGACCATGGAATTTTGCAAATGTACATAAATGATTATTTATGGCTGAGTATTTCCCAATAATTTTCAAAACTATCAAAATTTTCAAAAAAATCAAAGTTTTAAAAATGTTTCAAACAAATTCATATATCAAAATAAGAACATCAAATTGCAAAAATTGCAATAGACCTCAACGTAAAAAGGACGAAAAAAATCAAATTTATATCAATAATAAAATATCTGAGTATAAGTGAAACAAAAATAATACAATATGACTATGTGAACCGAGAAGTATTTGAGTATTCGTAATAAGCCACATTAAATTAAAATGACTAGTTTCAATTGAAGATTGAATTTTTTTTTTTAAAATATTATAACAAAACATATAAAACACAAAACTGAACAAATTTTAACCACGCCAACTTAGTTGTCAGTCCTACGTCTAAGTAGGAAGGAGAGTAAAGCAGATGAACACTCCGCGCGCTGTACTGTTACACAAATGATACTATACTGTCCTTCAACCCAAACTTAAAAGTCGAATATCTCATAACATATTAACGGACATCAAACATGTCAATACTAAAAATGTATTTTAACTAATACTATGTCTATTAATGATTTTTTTAATATAGGTTGCTTTTAAAAGTAGATAGTGGTTTTACCCCCAAAAATAAAGGTGACAAAAAATATCATAAACATACAATATTAGAAGAGCAGCTTGTTTCTTAAATATTCTAGAAAATAAATACCGGAAAAAGTTTCCGAGATAATAAATGTACCCATTTAAATGGATCACCTTGTATAAACATATTTTTATTATTTCTAATCGACGATTTTCGATATTCTTTAAATTCGTGATCATTTTTGATACTTATAAAAACCTATTTACTACCATTTTAAAATTTCATATGTGGTCGTGTTTTGGTTACTCCACTCACATTAATATATTATAATAACTATACAATATTTCATCAATATGAATCTCAAGGCCCTTTTACAAATTATAAACGATTCCCACCTCCATCTAATCTAAAAACACAGGAAATAATACTCGTGTTTTACATATGATATTAGGTATATGGATTTACAATTTTTTAAAAAAAGTTAAACGGATGTGTGAACGCCCATTACCTTATTCGCTACCGATATACCTAAATGTTACCGGTTATTTTTACATATTTAAATTATTTTAGTGAACCTATACATATTTACGAATAAATTATGCATTTTATTTATAATATATACAAATAAAATAAAACATATTATAAGCTAATATTTATTTATCAGTTATCAGTAAATATCTATTAAACATTTTAATTTATCCAAAAAAAAAAATGATATATTTTTAGCTTCGTTTAGAATCTAAAAAATATAACACTATTTTGATTAATATCTATGAATGTATACAGTTTTATTTCGTTATCAAACAAACTGTGTATTATTTATCTTTTTATTTTACTATGGTTACATTTTAATCATACTTGTTAATACTATTTTGGCGGGTTACACCAATACACGAGGTTTTATAATAAGGTAAAAAGTAACGTTTATCTACAAAATAAAAACATTATATAAGTGGTCGCCAGCTGACGGCTTTTGACGGAAGTAAAAGGCGAGCACGCAACAATTAAAACAACATAAGCTAAGAAAGACAATTATACATAATAATTATTCAGAGTCGGAAAACAATGCTTCGCGTACGGCGTCGGTGCGGAGAGAGAGAGAGAGCGGAGCAGTCGAGACGAGCGGAGCTGTGTGCAAAAACCGTTACACCGGCGGCGAGGGGCGTGGCCGACGTCCGCCACGAGCGACGAGCAGCGGAAGGAGAAATGTGGCGCGAAACCCGCCACAATATTATAAATAAAAAAAAATATATAAATCTAGAGTTGGTGATATTGAGAATTTAACAACCGATATTCGGTATTTGTTTATATACTGGTTTTTACCGGTATACTGATATTACGGTATTTTTCAGTAAAATAATAAAATATATAATTATTAAATAATGAACTATTTATTAACTGACCGTGTGATAGGGCTACTCCCTTAATATTGTGATGCTGATAAGAGGCGCTGTTTCTAGACGCTCATCTACGTTTGTCTTAAGTGACGGGAGTATTTATCACGGCTTTAATATAACCGTGGTAATTATCGATACTACAGTATTTACCGAACTAACGGTATTTACCATAACAACGGTACGTATAAAAAATACCGCCAGCCATTTGTGTCTTATGAATTTATTATAGTTGTAATGTATTTGAACTGGCTCAACGAAGAAGAGTAAAACTAGTCGCACCTGTTTTCATAAAATTATTAGTTAATATGTTTTTAAATGTATGTATAATATAAAAATGATCGGAAAAATATGAACAAACCACATGGTTACGGGAAAGTTAACTTTTACAGCTTACCATATTATTCTTTTAATAACAAAGTAACTAATAGATCATCCTTTGTGGTAGTGATTATGTGTTACGTGTTTTCATATTCGTACAATTCGTAATAACTAATTTTTTGAATTAACATTTGTCGTCTCGACTTTTCTTTAAATAACGGCTCGCTGGGTCACTATTTTATCTATGATCATGCTGAATCTAATTGCATAGTCTAAGTACTAAGTTTTAAAATATGCATGACATACTTTACGCATTGATTTATTTATAAAATAATTACTTTCGTTTTATTCAATAATCGTTATCCACCAAACAAGTGAGTATAATTCCGGTTTAGGATTGACTCTCGTCAACTAACCTATAGTCAATGACCGCATTGTAATCTCGTATACATTTTTAAAGATAATATTGTGTTCTAGATTTTACAACGGGTAAATTTACATTTTTGGAACTTAAAATAATTGTTGAATAATTCACTAAAACAGGAAAAAACAGAACAACGAGGTTGGTACCAAGTGACTGAATATGATTTTGACAGTGAACTCTCCATTGCACCTCCATACGCCTACTTCATTTTTGCCCTATTTTACTCACTTATATACCATTTATATTAGTTTTCTACTTTCTTTTCCGTTATATAGACATAATACTGAAACTGTGGCACTGAAACTATTAAATATTGATATAAAATCATTTACATAAAAACTGGTCTGGATAACCAAAGAGAAATTAGGTATATGAGGACAGTTCCTATACTAAACTTGCTGCAATGCATTTGTATTTGTATTTATACATATATAAAAAAAATTGGTCGTTTTTATAAAAAAGTAAACATCGTGGTATTTCGGAAAAAAAATTGTTTATATTGTATATAAATATATTAGATTATTATGAAAATGTGATTTAAAAAATGTATTTATACCGTTAATGTATACCGTCATATAATGGTTTTAACCTCTTGAAAACTTTTATTTTATACTCAACAATTGAATGTCACTAGATAATTTTTACGATTTTTAATTCATATTTAAACTAATGTATTTCATTTCATTTCTAAGAAGAATATATTGGGTCACACTAAAGAACCTCGTATGGACACGCTCAATTTTGAATTGTGATTCATCCTTGAGATTATATTACAGATAACAATTATTGTTTATTTTAGTATTACAGGCTAATGAAAATGTCAATTGTTCGTGGCTTTTTAATTATTTAGGTAATGCCAATAACCGCGCATTATTAGTATGGTTGTGCATTCTCTTATATTACAATTTAAACATAACATTATTTTCGATCATATTTAATAGATTATTGAAACGCAGTAACGTTTCAAAATTGCTTATTCAGTTAATTACACATTGTATCTTAATACAAGTTTAATAATTATCATAAAGAATACTATACTCGTACATAGAATTTTCGCCCAACAGTATCAGATCAGTGTTTATCCGCTATAATATACCTGATGTTTATTAGAATGGAGAACAGAAATTTCATTGCGTCGCCCGCCGGTGTAAAAATAAAAAAAAATACTTATTACTCGTTTGAGAATCTATACCACGCGCGTATACACAGTTCGCATCGTTACATTGAACTTCCACCATAAAAAAAAAAAATTCGTAGTTATCCTTGAGACTGCGATTTTGATGGTCGCACATTTGTTCGTGTATATTATTATAAAATCGATCACATTCCAAAACAATATAATATGAACAGGCATCCGGGATCGTATTAGTACGTTTTGTGTCTCGGGTAAAGACATTTAAGTCCTCCAAAAAAAAAAAAAAAATAAAAAAAAAAAAATAAAAAAAAAATATATAATTCTAAATGTAAGATACAACTATTTTAGAAACAAAAGTAAATTAATCCTACATGCTCGATTTGAAATTATTTTTCCTTCAAAATGTGTGTTTTGAAGCACTTTGAGACTAATTTTTGGCTTTTATTAACATCTCAGTCACTCCATATTAAATGATGGATATCATTTGATATTGGATTAATCCTTGTTAATGAACAACGATTTTGAACAGAGTTCGGTTATACATGTTTTGTAATTTTATTATTTAGTATTTTTTGTTAAAATTTGATATACTAAAATTCTTATAAAAATAATTCTCCATTCCACTAATTTTATTTTTTTTAAATATAAAGTAATATTAATAAATACGTAAAAAAACTCGTAAAATTAAAATGCCTATAAATAGCTCAAAAATAAATATTTATATTTAAATATAAATATTAAATAATATAAAATAATAATTAATATTAAATGCATAAATATTTTGAACAGTTTACCACGTCTAGAAATTACAAATTTAAGTTTTCTGTCTAAATTTCAAGCCTTTACGAATATTTCAAAATGAATTACAATAAAAATACAAAATTAAAAATAATAGCACTAATTATTTTCTTAAATTTTCCGATTTTCCCAATTATTATGAAAAATGCTAGAAAAACCAAAAAAAATCACCTATTTAAAGTAACAAATAGATGAAATTTCGTTTCAGAAAAGGACTTATACTTGAAAATTGAAGCAAGATTTCTGGTAGAAATTAAAAGTGTAAAAAAAAAAAAAATAAAAAATAAAATAATCATTGTAAACTAATACCTCGTTTGCTTAGAATCTGCAAATTGACGCAATTATTGTAAAAGCTTTTAGATTTATATAATATGGTTTTTAAAAGTAGTCATCGTAAACATTGCAATGAAAAAAAATTTGCACATAATGTGAGAATCGACATTTTTTTGGTTGTTTTCAATGTAGCCATTTTAATTTCATTAACGAATTATTTCAAGGATAAAAATCAACAAACACTGTCTACTGTTGTAGAATATCCCAACAGCAAATGTAGGCTTTCTATAGTTTTCTGTATTAAGAATTTGTTTAAAAATTTTATTTTTTCAGTCTACAAACTGCGAGGTAGGACAAATTAATATCAATGATGAAATTCGTACTTATGGTATGGAAAAAGAATAACAAGAAAGATAAAAGAAGATTTTGTTGAAAATGATAATCGAAAGTCTGCCTCATAAAATGATAATATTTAACATGTTTCAACATTTGACTATATGATTTTCTAATTTCACCACAATAATAATAATAACAATCGTTCAATATGGTTTTTCCGTCGATATCAATGTTGTGAGTATGATTTCGTGTTGCAATTTTTGCTGTTGTATCCTCCGTAAAAATATTTCACGTCAAAAAAATAATAATGCCACGAGTTGCGCCGAGTCGTCTGTAGGAACGATGTGATCGAAGAAATAAATGCAACGGAATACCGGTATGAGTATAATACAAACCTTAAGAGGGCATTGCCCTTCGTATTTGCTGTTTAAATTTAAAACCAGAAAGCGAGAAATTGTTCTTTCGAAAAAATAGCTGTTTTTCCAAACATAAGAAACGACAAAAGTGTCGATGTTTATATTTTTCCATTAAACCGTTATTAACTTGCACGTTTTTATTACCTAAGCTATTGTTCCTAAAACGACGTTAAATTCATTATATTTTATACAAACTTGTATAGGTACATGATGTTATAATTTTTATCATGGCACAATTTTGATATCCTATACCAACCTATAAATTCTAACCGCAAGCGATTTTATGAATATTATATGAATTTTATAAACACGATTTAGTAAAAATTGTCTTTAGAATGAGTGTACACTACAGACGGACTTTGACGATAATTTGATCGGTTTAGATTTACATTTGGTTATGTGTAAGCGTGGATACATATTAACTATAAAAATCAAAAAGGCATTCCGATTCTCTATCGTTTCAAAAGATCAATAATTTTGGTATAGTTGGCATTGCGTTTTAAATAAGTACACTATACACAAAAAATTAAATAATTGGGCAAACTTCGTTCGATAAATACTGTAGTCATTTAAAACGAAATAATATCTTATCAATATCACGGACTGATATTTATTTGTATTTGTTAAATTTTAGAATTTGTATTATTCATTGTTATTTTTTTTTCATTTGCTACCTGTTCCTGTTAACAATGGTTTAAATTATTTAATTTTTTTTTTAGACCTTTATTATTTCATATTTGCGACTAGTAGTTGATCAATTATCAAACGAAAATTTATAAATATTATCGAAAATAGTGATGACAATAATAATTGAACTGTAAATACAGCGATCGGCCGACCATCGTCAAATAGCGTAACAAAAAACAACTAAATAGTTTAGAGAGGGACACGACGTTTGCTGTAAGCACGACACCGATCAAACTGCCGACCGGTTAAAAGTCTGTACACTAAGTGTACGCTTGCTTTTACAATCGACATGAGCCGCTTCGAGACATTTTATAACGGTGCCGTTCTTCCCATCCTTGTCGAATCAACCGCACCGAAGTTAAAAACTAGTTTATGTTGACGGGTATAATGACCGTGACGGAACGACGGCATTAAAGTTTTATTTGATAATAATAAATAATAATGACAAAATTATTATATAAGTAATTTATTTCACTATCGGCGACAACTGCTGACTATCCGATTTAATTTAAAAGTAAAATCGTAAAGAATCGTTTTACAATCTGATCGACTTTTGTTTTCATTATGCAAATTGGTAGATAATCTTCGAAAAGATGTATGAATGAATTGGCGTCGTTGGGGAATAATAATATGACAATAATTAGGGCTGGGATTTCGATGCACTTTTCATTTTTTTCCAGAGGTTACTGGACGATGCTCGCCTGGTCACAAATCCATAACATGTACTTTTGAATGAGAATAAAAGACAATTTATTTTGCATTTTTGGAATTGAACGTTATTTTCTTCATTTTCAGCGCATTACTGAAGTTTTTGGATCCAAAATTTAAATTCAAACCTGAAATTTTATTTTAAGATTGTGCACGCTATAATGCGAGTCTTATATGAATATGTTTATATTTTTTTTGTGCAACAAACAATAAAGTAGGTACCTACTCGTATCTCGTATCGTAGAAAAACTTAGATAACAAATTTGCGATTGGCGGAATGGCAAAGTATATTTAGAATTGCCATAATATATTAATCTGTTTAATAATCTATCAGAGCAATAAAATCAATATTGACATCTGACGATATCGATCATTACAAGTTTGTTGTCGTAAGTTGTAACACAGTTTCAATTGTTTCATTAAAATGCCTAAAGTTAATCGTTTATCGGTGAGTCAATTGCGTGCGTTTGTTGAAGAGTTTGGTCAAAGTATTTTTTCTATCGACGGAACGGTATTATTGTGTAAGATACGCAACATAAAAGTTTCTGCTGAAAAACGGTTTTCTATAAAACATTTATCAAGAGACAAACGTATACTTAGAGTAAAACGGTGTGAATTATAAAAATAAGTAGGAAAAAAAACTGCACAAAGTTTTATTACAGACACACCAAACAGGTCAGAATATTTTTAAATTTAACTCGTACATTTCATTAAATCAGAGGCGTGTCCAGCGGGTGGGCCTAGTGGGCCTATCCTGATTTTTAGTCTTTAAATAAACTCAAATAATTTATTTTTCCTGTTAAACACACCGAACACTAAACATGAATACACCGGGGCGTACTGCGTAGGTACACGTATGCGTACATACATTATGCCGTGAATAATTGTACCTATTTATAAATAAAATAAATAAACGTAAAAAGCAATCGGTGATCCTTAAGCGCTTCTAGGAAAAATATTCATCCACAAATAGTCAACAACCATATTGATATATTATGCGACACAAATTAAAAATACATTTATTAGGATAAGTATGCAACCGATATTATTACGATTACGACCGTTGCTGAGCGTGGAAAATTCAACGACGTTGCTAATTGATAATATATATTTTGTTTAGTACCGAATAGTGGCGAATACCGATGCGATCGGGAATAAACATATTCCGTTTTGTTTTGTGGCTCTTTTAGAATTATTAATTATTTCTTGTATTTCGTCTATAGTTGATAAATGTATAATAAAATGATTAGTGATTTTTTGAAATCTGTTCCTAAATCAACAAAAACATTGAATGAAAATGATAATATAGTGGAGGTTATTAAAACCACAAAAAAAAAATTGTAAAACTAACCGTTAATTCGATTGCTAACGAATTTTGTAATGCAAAAGTGCTCGATATAAGTTTAAATTGTCATGAACAACCAATTCAGCTAATTCTTAATTTTCCCCGTCGAAATATTTGTAATGAGCAACGTTGTTTTCAAAGTTCTTGGTATAAAACCTGTATACGGCATAACATATGCGATATGGGAAAGTCAGTTAAGGAAATTAAATTGGCTGTAGAACGCGTGTTGGTTATACCAGTAAGTTCAGTAACAGCCGAAAGAAGTTTTTCGACGACGAGAAGAATTAAAACATATTCAAGGACATCTATGTCAACTACACGTCTTCATAATTTGGCATTGATATCAATTAAAAGGGAGTTCAGTTTGGAGTTATTGCGAGATCCTACAAAGATTATTAAAGAGTTTGCCAAAATGAAAAACAGAAGAATTAAATTTACTAAATAAATATTATAAAAAGTTACTTTATAAGAGTATAAGTATATTATGCATATGACTACAAAGTAGTAAGTAAAACTTAAAAAAATTGTGTATCTTATACAAATTATTCTTATAATCGAGCCCATCCTGAATTTTCACCCTGGACACGCCCCTGCATTAAATATGATCGAAAATCCTATGTTTTGTAAATTTTTGGAAAAATATACAAACAAACAAACGTCCAATCGCTCTACATTACGAAAAAATTGCATTAATATTTATTACGATGAAATTATACAAAAAATAAGGTCGTGCGTAGACAATAAAAACATTTGGGTTTCTATCGACGAAACAACGGAAGCCTGTGGTCGTTATGTTCCCAATGGCATAATAGGTACATTAGAAATAGGAAACAAAGGTAAAACATTTGTATTAAACTCAGAAGTATTAGAAAAAAAACTAATCACAGCACAATCGCTAAATTTTTTGACGAGTCTTTATCAATTTTATAGCCTCAAGGAATAATCCATGATAAGTGTCCTGTTATTTCTAAGCGATGCTGCTACTTATGTGATTAAAGCCGGTATTGCAATCCAAACTTTTTATTTTAAAATGATACATGTTACATGCTTAGTACACGCATTGCATAGAATTGCTGAAGAAATAAGAAATAATTTTCCAAATGTTGGTGCATTAATAATAAATAACGTGAAAAAGATAATTTTGAAAGTGCCATCGCGAATCCAAATATTTAAAACAATGGCACAAGATGTCCCACGAGCTCCTAAACCTGTATTAACGCGTTGGGGAACTTGGTTAAATGCTTGGTTGTACTATTATGAACACGTTGAACTTACTAAAGAAATTATACCGATAAATTAGACGAGAAAGACGCAGTTGCAGTTTCCAAAGCTGAACATTTATTTTCTACAGTTAATTTTAAACATAATTTAGTATACAGTGTGATCACGATTTAAGGTAACACTAAATATCTCTGGTAAATGACCTTGTATTGAAATGGGGTTTTCGGGAGGTGATAGGGAGTACCTAAATACATATTTTCAAATAAATTTCAAATTTGTAACACTTTTGGTATGCGCATGCGCAATAATACAACTTACAATTTTTTTAAATGGAAACACTATTTTTTTTTTTAAATTTTTTGAATTCAGAGTTTTTTTCTATTTATAAAACTGACCATGTTAGAGTAAGTCAAAATTTTGATTTTGAATACTAAAATAATTGTGAAATAAATGTTCAATTTACTTTATCTGTTTGCAAATAATAATTTAAAAATACTGTTGGTCACTAGAATGAATATCTCGAATATGTAATAATTTTTGTTCAGTAAACTGTAATAATACGATTACGATTTTAAAAAAAAATAATCTATCCGAATATGTAGAAAAAAAAATAGTGTTTCCATTTAAAAAAATGTAAGTTGTATTGCGCATGCGTGTACCAAAAGTTTTACAAATTTGAAATTTATCTGAAAATATGTCTTTAGGTATTCCCTATCACCTCCCGAAAACCCCATTTCAATACAAGGTCATCTACCAGAGATATTTTAGTGTTACTTTAAATCGTGATTACACTGTATATTAAGGCAAATTTTAGTACCTTAGCAACTATCTATTACGCAACTAGAAATTTCCGGTATGACTAGCTGATTCTATTAACATTGTTCAATAAATAGAAGCTGAAATTCAAAATGCTCCAAATGAAATCGGAAAAACCATTTACAAAAAAATGACTAGGTTTTTAAATAAAAATAAAGGATTTAAAATCCTTTCCGATACATCAGATATTTTGAATGGACAAGAAGGCACAATAAATGAAATTCCGGATGATATAACAGTAAATGATTTGGCGTTCTTTAAATATTCAGCCATCACTTCGGTAGACGTTGAAAGAAGTTTTTCTATCTATATAAATTTACTGACGGATAACAGAAGATCGTTTTTATTCGAAAATCTTAAACAATCTCTGATAATTCAGTGTAACAGTTTAGAGTGCACAAAGTCTACGGAGTGTACAATTTGAAGTTTAGCCTAAAGAAATCCTGAAGTTTCGCATATAGAAAAATTATTTTAATCACTTTCATTTTAATTCAATTAATTTAATCAAATATTATTTAAAATTTATACTTAATTTATTAAAAATAAACTTAATTCACCTGCGTATTTTTAGTGCATTATTTAGAATAATTAGGGCAATAAAACATTTATTTAAGGGAATTTTTTAGGGTTTTATAAATCATTATATTCCCAGCTCTAATCATAATATTTAGATCGTAATTTCCATGGTATTATTGTATTTAGTGTCGGACAGGCAATGATAGGCTAGGCCACAAACGCGGCCGGGTATTACTAGTATTAGTTTATTGTTAATAACAAAATTATATTAATCAAAAAATTAATATTTGTAGTACAATAAAAATATTTTTTTTTGTGTATCTAGTTATGTATTATGTTTGCAGTAATATATTATTTTCGTTTTAGTATATTTATTAAGTTAAATCTTTCATGTTATTGTATTAAATATTGTTGTTTACCGTTTGTAAATTGAAAATATTTTTCCGTGAATGAATAAATAAATAAATTATTATTATTAAAACAAAATATACAAATATTTGTGTTTGTTAAACGCGACTGTAGGGTCAGCGTCAGGGTTGAACAGCACTTACTTATACCATTAACATTTTTATTGTTTGAAAAAAAAAATATTTAAATAGTATTTTGCAAATTCAATACCGTGCACATTAAACACTCGTTAAATTTGCGGTAAATACAAAAATACATAGATAACGCGCATATATAAGTTAATTATTCACTGTGACTACATTCCAATTAATTTATGTATAATGTATGCATATATTATAAAGGAAAAAAAAATGGTTAAAAAATGGCACATATCCGAACACTAAAAAAGACTATAGAAAGTCACTATAACAAAAACCATAATCGGTTCTTTGTTTACTGTTCTTTAATTCACACAGACCTTAACAGCAATTACAATAAATCAACGACGATTGCGGGGTTGATTCTCTAATAGCCTCATCGTGCAACTTCAAACCAAATCCCATCCAAAAAACCCATATGGACCTAATGGGCCCATTGTACAGATACATCCTCAAAGTCTAATATTAATATCACTGTCTTAACGAAAACAATAATTTATATGTTTCATGTTCAGTTCGGATGGAAAATAAAAATAAAACATATTTTAAATATTATACAAATATTTCGACGTAAATGTAAATGCATATTATGTTTAAAACAAATGAATTAAAAATATATAAAATTATAATAATAAAACCATACATTTTCCAATATTTTTTTAAAATATAATTTTAAACAATGATGGTATTTTACATTTATAGTATACTCAGCATTATTATCTAAAATTGTGTTCAAATCCCCATAAATCGCTTAGAGTCTACGCCTTAGATTATTAAAATAACAAATCTTATACGATTTTGTAGCATATACTATAGCATAAGACTTTAATTATTTGTAACAAAAATTTTCAAAAGATTTAGTAATAGTTTAGTGGTTAAATATTATAAATCAGAAGAAACATTTTCCAAAAAAATTGTGCTAACTTATTAAAAGAAGCAATTTATAGTTTTATTGACAAATGAAAAGTTGCCTTTGCTTTATACTTCAAAATTGAAAATAAATGGTATTTGATTTATAACGGGAGGGTACGAACCAAAACCGTTTTTGATATATAAAAATGAAAAAAATAAAATAAATTTAAAAATAACTATTCTATTTTATTTATTTATTTTTATTATATATTTATACACATGGACAATTTTCGAAATTTGTGATTTTATTATTTTTATTATACATTATACATGAGGGAGGGAAATTTCCGCATTCAAATATATACCGTGGGGAACAAGTTCTACTCTATCAAAAATAGCCGAGGGGAAATTATCTACTTACATGAACCGCTCTTTTCGCGTTTTTGTAATTAATGTTTCTTGATGCACATGATAATATTATGTAGTAGGTATATTGATTTTAAATAATTAGAAACATGAAGAAAAAAAAGACAAAATATTGTGTATGACCACAATGTTAATCTGTTACTACGATATGAATTTAAAAAAATAATAGACGATGCCATTCTTATACAGTTTCATAGATTTTATAAACTAACTACAGAATTATGTATCGTATATCGATCGTGTACCTATATAATTTTTTAATTGTAATGTTTATACTATAATTTACATCATTTATATGAATATTCTTTCAAAACGGATTTTTATAATACCTACACATAATATGAGTTTTATTTTAATACACGTTGTATTATAGTTTAAAATAATAAAACTAAAATACTTACTTTGTTGAGCCCATAAAGTCATATTTTTCAGACCCGACTGCAGCATCAAACTGTCGTGTTCACATTGCGCATTGTTCGACTTTATTATTGCATTTGGTAACGTCGGTAATATGTTTGTAGATTCTGTTAACAAGGCGCTAACACTAACCACAAATAGTGACAGTGCAAAACGGGACACCATCTCGAATCGCTAGAATAAAATTAACTTACTTAAAAAGAGAAAAAAAATGTAATTATATTTATTAAAAGGACGTCGAACCTTTTCGTCTGTCAATCTAATGGCCCGAGAGTTTAGTAATTGATTACCTAACGCGTGTTTACGGTACTCAGGTTTCTTTAATCGTACAAACTTGTTTATGTTATCAATATAATTAAATTGTATTAAATGTTTACTGATTAGTTTTTGAAATATTAATTTTTCATTATCTAATTATTTTGTTTGCTTTAATATTTCAAAAAATGCAAACTTCCAAGTGCAAATAAAATTGGTTTTAGACAGAAAAAAAAAAAAAAAAACTGTTTAATAGACATTTATAGTAAAATAAAGTAAATGCAGATTCGATGTTTTCTTATTTATGCCGGTATTAGTTATAAATGATTATGATCGTATTTATATAATGACTAAGAAATTAGAAATGAAATGGACAAAATAGTCTACTAAAAACCACCTTTGGTATTGATGTTAAGAGTTCTGGTTGAAAAGTCGTTAAAAATTAAATTATTATTTTTTGTATTTTCAGATCTTTGTGAAAAAAAAAATAGCTTCGGGAGTTTGCCCCTAACGCTGTTCCCTTAAATGTGGCATTGAACGGGGTTGTACATACATTATAGGTATTTTAACTCTAAACCTGAATTTAAATGCCTTTTCGTTTCTTTTACGTAAACATATTTTTTTTATATCGATCGTTAGATAAAAAAGAAGACTGAAGGTGGGCCACTGTGACTACCTCATAATAAAATAATTATGTGATCGGAAAGTAACTTGAAAAATTAATTTTTGGCCCGTTTAAAAATCCTAGTAGTTAGTGATCGCTGCTGTAATAACATTATGTTTTTGTTTTATTCAGTTTATTTTCATTAAGCTCTATTTACATAGATAAATGTGATATTCACATTTTTTAATTTATTTTTTTCTGGTTATCGTCACTAAGATATAATATATAATATGTTGTTAGTTACTAAAATTATTATCACGTTTGTATACTTACATACCTACGTAATACATATTATAAATTGAATTATAATAAAAACTATAAAAACTATAGTATATTATATGATATTATATTATGATTGTGATAATTTAGATAAAAAACAATAAATAACCGCACACCGTCGTTTCATGTGATTATAATATTCGTATTATTATTTACCTAAATCAATAATAATATTATTTCTATAAACTTTAGTTATGAAATTTTCATTTACGTTTTATTTTGTAGGGTAAACAATTTCAAAGACAAACATATTATTTTGTCTAATCTCGTAAATTTAAACACTTATCAGATACCTAACAAGAAATTTATTGAAATATATTAATTTTATTATTGGATTTTAATTAAAAATAACAATACTAGGTAATAAAGATAAATCGATTTGGTCCAAATTTGATCTTATCAGTTTAGTAGTTCAAAAATATATATATTTATTTATTTTATTAACTCCGAATGTATTTTGTTTTAACATAGATCCCTAATAAAATAGACCTTATCGGACATATTTTAAAAATGTTCTTAACTAATAATAAAACAATTTGCTTTCAATATAGGTATATGTTTTACAATGCTACTTACTTGAGATTTGATTTTCCCGGTTTATCTGCACGTCGTATTCTCGTAATCTGAGACTACAACTACACTCTGTTCGCTCGGATGACTGAACAACGATTAACCGTAACTGGTTACAGCAGGATTATTAAGACCAAGTTCAAGAAATCTATCGCCCCTTCCAAGTTATTGAATTTCAGTGGTTCTCGGCATTGTGTTTTCCATTATTGGACTTAAAATAATGACAAAATTCGCCGTCTATACAATAATTTCCTAATCTTGAAATGGTGTCATTAAGTAGGTAACATTATACCTATAATTATTTGTTTGATTTTGACGATTATAAAAAATACATTCTTATTTTATATAGGCACACTAGGTTTTTTTTATGATTTTATAAACAATTTAGAATGAATTTGAGTTTAGTGAAGAAGTTTAGTTCGTTTTATAAAAATCTGTACTTTTTCTCGGATAATACTTTTTCGATTATTAAATAAATGCTTAGATTTGTTCATGATATATACCTTCCGAATTTTTCGTCTAGAAATAATAGCTTAAATTATACTCCAAACAAATTATTACGCTTTGTAGGTGTTCACACCTAAATCTTTAGAAATTCGTTTTATTTTGCCAATGGTAAAATTGTTAAAAGAAGTTATTTATTTATCTATAATCATCCAGATTTTATAATAGTATTTATAAAATAATAATATGACTTAAATCATTTTTATTTTTGACGAATGCGTCTTTTATGTGTGCAACTATAATAATTAAATTAGTACATATATTTATTAACTTAGTAAATTACTATGGTTTGGATGCTGTAAAAAAACAACATTTACACAAAATATTATCAAAATTTGAAAGGGAAGGATTCATAAAATATATCCATGCACAAGCTCTTTTTAATGTTAAAAGATCAGAAAAAATATATTATAAATAGATTAATTTTTTTGAAATTATTATGTGCAAATTCAATAACGATTTTCATGTTGTATGCAATAGGTAGTATACATTATTATTTAAAAAACAATTGTTTATCGAATATTAACTTCCTACAGCAGATACTTTACTAGTAAATTACCTACTAGTCAGTAGTGGTCAGTATGGTTGGTGATTTTCTATTTTGTTTTTTTTTTTTTCGATACAGTTAAAAATAATCGTTAAGACAAGAAATGTGTACAGAATAATTAAATCAACAGTTTCTAGACATAGTAAAATGTCCAATACATTCTGGTGTTTTACGAGTTTTGAGCTATTTGAAATTTTCGAGTTTTTTAGATTTTGAAGGGGAACGAAGGTATTTTTTTGATTTTCCAAATAAATATAATATGTATAAATGAACTTCTCTAAAATCGTTTTCATTAGCGATGGTTTTTTATTTTTTTATTTTTTTAATTTTATTTAACACATCGTTGGTATAAAACTTTATACTATATCATCTCAATAATAATCACTATTTTTGAACTTATTAATATTGAAAATATTTAAAAAAATATATAATTGAATTTCACGTATTGGAACAACTTCTTAAAAGATTTTTTGACAAATATAATCATAAGGGTTATATTAAGTTGATATACGTGTGATTGAAATTTAACATCTTTTCGTAAACCACACGTTAGAAACATAGTAAATTGACTTAAAAGTTTAATTTAAATAACTGTTATAAATATAATATTTTAATTCGGGGTTATATATGTTTAATGGGTGACTATCTCATAATTTCTATAAACAGTGCAATAGAATATAAAAATATCTAGTAAATCTATCTTTTTAAGGTGGAAATACAAGTTAAATAATTTATGAAATTTAGTCACTACAGAGCAGTTGCATTAGATTTTTATGGTCAGCAGTGAAAGGGTTAATACGCGTATGGTACTCATTAAAAATTCGTTGTCAACAAGAATGTATCAAATAGTTTGATACCCTCGAGCATGGTATAATTGGCATATCCAAACCAAATTCGACGAGCACCAAACACAGACACGTTTGTTGCGGATCTACGAACAGTGTAAACTTGGTCGTATCAAAGTTTGATATGGATCTACTTGATGTACACTAGCTTAATAATCATGGTGTAACCAATAAATCCGTCCGTCGATGCTTAATATTTAACTTCTGTAATTCTGAAATCAGGAATATTCATTATATTTACAATTCAAGTATAGGTACTCCTATACAAACTTTAAAGTGATTTATCTTCACTCTATTTTTATATTATATCCGTCTATTAAAATAATTAATTGAATTAATAATAAATAAAGCGTCTATATGTGAACAAGTAAAGACACAATTAACAATTTGTTTTGGCGACTTGAATCAATATTAAATACGTACGACTTTCTCTAGGTCAGGGCAAGCGAAACTTTTGCCTTGGGTCCCCCAATTTTATAGATATCAATAATAAAAACGATATTTAAAATAATTAAGGGCCCCCCATTCACTTCTCTCTAATTTTACACCATTAAACACGCTGAATACATTATGTAGATATTTTCAGACAAACCTAAAGTAAAATTTTTAGAATATGAAGTTTTTCTCTGTCCCAAAATCAACAAATCAGTAGAATGACCCTGATACTCGTAATTAATTTACATAAGGTTAAAATAATCTAAAGCGTATTATTTACAAAACATCTACCCAATACATGGATTAAGAACGTAAAAAAATAAAATAAAAATAAAAATATATGCAAATTTAAATAGTCTGCCAAAATGTTCAATTGTATTTATTCTACTGCGAAGAAGTAAATGTATATTACTAAATACAATAATATTTATGAACGTTTAATTTACATTAATCATATATGATATATGTTAAAATTATCCATATTTTTTTTAGTAATAAATAAAATAAATCTATACAATTTTTTATATATCATATTTTTAAACAAGTATTTCAGATTAAAAAGAAAACTTAAATTAATAAAATATTGATTTTTTTAGTTATAAATGTTACTAATTAACTTTAATATCCTAATTCAATTATCGTACTACTACTACATAACCTAAAGGTGTCAAATACTACATAAAATTACATTTCAATTTATTTAATGTATTAATATCCATAAAGTAAATGCTAAATGGTTTTGAATGGCTTTAATGTTTCAATAACATTAAACCGTTGGCACGTAGTTTTAAATAAACTTGCGTTGAACAAAACTCATAAAAAATTGGTTAAAACTATAATTTATTGTTTTAAATTCTAAATTCTGGTAATCATTATATATATTCTAAGAAAAACAAAAAATTAAAATGTATTTAGTTTGGTTGTTTTGATCATCCGTTAAACATAAACGATTTCACTTCTTTCCTGAAAACATCGTATCTTTCATGGTACTGAACAGCGTCACTTGTAGTAAAGTACATTAGAATAAACATAGTAATGATGAATATATTTGTGATTTTTTAAATCGTTAAAAATTTAAATTTGATTGTAAAACTTTGGGTCCGATTTCTTTTAATAGGAAATGGTCTTGGCTATCATGTGTAGTAGTTTCAGAGTTAAGAATTAAAAATACGGTGTCCAGGACTTATAACTGAAGAAAAGATATAACCGAGCGATATATCACAAAAAGTGAAATTATAAGAAGGGCCCCCCTTCTATGTACCCCTCCCCCGTACGTCTCTTTTTCATGGAAAATCATTTTTTGCTGATCGTCATGAAACTTTTTTATATTTTACAGCACCTCACAAGTGCTATCCTACATGTGATAGTTAAGATCATTTCCTATCGTATAAAATCGGTCGCAATCCTGTATTTACACGATTGGAACGTTGTGGCTCCACACGGTAGTTAAAAATAATATACTATGGCTCCATACGGCATGAGGTATAGCAACCTGTACGAATATTTGTGGCTCCACACGGCAGTTAATCCTCCATAATATACGGGTGGCTACATACGGCAAGGGGAGTGTATCTTAGAGGAGCTTTCGTGACTCCACACGGCAGTTAATAATATACGAAACACTGGCATCGTTATCATCAATTTCATCAATATCAGAACTTTCACTTTTGTTCGCCCATATCTCGCTTTTTTTTCGTTTTAGCGTTTCGCGGTAAAGGACAAAAATTAATCCCCTTGTTATGTTTGATATTGTGATCAATTTTCAAAACAATTAAATCAAAATTTTCCGAATTTTCCGAAAAAGTCTATGAAACTTTGGTACTCGTTTGCCGCGGAACCATTGGAGATAGGTCGTTTTACCAAGACGCAAAAAAGTTTTAATATAGACCATTGAACGTGTTTCGACAGTAAAAAGTTGGAAAAATGCAAAAATGCAAAAATACATCTCATAAATTTACGTAATATTTACGACCCCCCGCACACAAAACTTCCTCGCCCAAAAACTTGCACATGTAATTCCAACTATTTTATGTTATTTGGTAGATACTATATTTTAGAGCCACTAAAGTTTTTACAAAATATAAAAAAAATCTACGGTTTCCATGATAATCAGTTGGAAAGTAGAAAAATCGAAATCTTCTCGATGGAGGTTTTTTGGGGACGAAATACAAACAAAAAAATCTATGAGACGTTCATCGCTATTTTGACATTTTTCCTCAGACCCTAAAGCCATACTTGAACCAACAATTAATATTCAATAGAATATAATAATTCAGTGTTGTATAATAATATTGTATTTTTAGATATGAACTTTCAGAACGGTTCCCTAATGAGAAGGGTTATGGAGTTAAAGTGGTTTGTGCAAAACGTATTAATAAAAAACAGGAGATTAAAGCGTTAGCGGGCCAATGTTACGATATAGAACAGAGTGATACACGACCTGGAGTAAATGATTTCTCGTTATTGTATAGTAACCGAACGCAAAAACAACAAATGATGTACCTTGGCCCTGCTGCCTACGTTAACCATGACTGTGAGTCAAACTGTTCCTGGTCAACATTTATATCAAAATCTTATGTGCATTTGGTATCCAACAAAAATATTAATCCTGGCGAAGAATTAACAACTTATTATGGAGACAATTTTTTCGGAGAAAACAATTGCCTATGTAGGTGTCTAACATGTGAAATTGGGGGAAAAGGATATTTTGTGAGAAAATGTGAAGTAGCAACTCAAAGGTACTGTCCTCAAAGGTAACAATGCTGTTTTTATTATACATTTTAACCCACTGCTATATTAATCATTCCAGCATTATTAAAAACAAATTTATGACAATATTTTTACATAATATTTTTATATTACAGTAGAGCTCATGGACATCCACCAAACTAAACAGACCTCGAGTAACAGTACCAGTGATAGTGACTCCGATTCTACTGACACTGATGGTAATTAAAGAGTAACAACGTATATAAAATAAATATAGTATACAATACTTAGAGAAAAAAAAAAAAATTAAAAATTAAATATGATATAAGCCAGTAATTATATAAGCATTAGTTGTATAATTATAACATATTAGGTGTGTTAAATTTTTTTAATTTTCTTCATCTTACATTCAATAGTTCAACTGATGAAGATACACTTAAATATAAAAGTGACAAAAGCAATGAATATTTCCAATTGTTGGTATCGTCGTCACCTATCAGTCCACAACCCATCCAGCTTCAGATGCAACTATTGTCCCAAAATATTTAGAAGGGTACAATGAATGAGCGAGCATACATTTCGCCATATTGGTGGCAAGGATTTTAAATGCAATATTTGCAAAAAAAAGTTCAGCGACCGGAGGAATCTCAACGCACACAAAGAAATGATACATAATTCCAACCCTGTAGAGTGCCCGATATGTAATCAATTCTACATTGATGCAAGACAGTTGAGGTATCACAATCAACGGATCCATACAAAAGGGTCCCGGTGAATGGCCTGGGATTTTACTAGGTCTCTTCTAAATATTTCCGGCGAGCACCTATGTTTTCCTTTTCGATAAATAGCACTTTAAGACCGTCAAGTTGTAGAGTTCAAGACTCAGAAGTATTTTATAAAAATTGCAGGTCTCTACTATCATTTTTAAACGAAATACAGCTAGAAAAAAAAAAGTCACAAATAATAAAACCGTTAATACCGTAAAAATTCCTGTTGTATCTAAGTTTTTTCGGCTTTCCCAATTACTTCACGGAAATCAAAAAAATTTATACTTTTTAATGCATTAAATTAAGTGCAACAAACACGACTAATCGTCGTTTTATTTTGTTTATTGGGAGCAAGATTGCTAGAAATTATTTCCAAAATGTTGACACTATACCGGTTTCGACGAAATTGGATTAAGTGGGCGGCCTAACTTCATGGACGTAGTGTACTGTTAAGAATTTCAAAAAAATGTTTTATTAAAAAATTACCGGCTATGGGAATCCCATATTATTACATTAAAATAAAGTATTGTCGAAGTTTCATCAATGGATGACTCCTTCACTTAAGCCCCCATCTCAAATTTAGTTAATTTAGTTAAATTTTTTCTATTTTCATGTAAACCTAGCATAACCCGTGCCTATTGTAAACAATTTTTTTCTTTACAGAATGTACAATTAATAAATGAATAATTATAATAACAATAATATATTTATCATGAATTGCCACACTATTTGTCTACGTCACTACCGCACACAATTTGTTTGGCATTGATTAAATCTACGAAAGATTAAGTTTTGTGACGACACGGATAACGATGTCAAATTGACATTGCCAACGGTAACGTGTTATGAAAAGATTCTGTAAATTTTACAAAATATAAACAGATACTAATAGGCTAGGTCCAATGTGTCTATGTTTAATTAGGAATTACACGTGCGGGTTTTATAAACAAAGAAACGAAATTGCATTATATTATTAGTACCACAATAGAACCGTCGCGTTGTATTGATAGTTAGATACGATCGTAATAAATCATAAATTAAGTTTACATTTCTAATACATTAACTGGTAATTCATAATTAAGATGTTTTCAAATGGAAAAACAATTATATTTTTTCTTCATATTAACAACGTTGTTCTTGACATTTTTTTTTTTTTTACAAGGCACTTTAATTAGCTAAATATTAAAAATATAATATGCATAGATACATTAAATTGCAACTATTAAGTAGGCAGGAACATACAGCGTAATATAAATTAATAATGAAACTCAGTGACATATTTAAGGAGGAATGAGAAAGATTTAGTATAATAATATTAACTTAACCCAGTTAACCATAATTTAACCTTTTCATTTTATTATTCCTTTGAGTAAAATTTGCAGTATTATTATTAATTCGGATATTCTAGTAAGGGTTAATCTAATATTAAAAAAAAAAAATCAATTAATAAAATATCGATTTTGTATAAAACATCACAATTGGACAATATTCGTTTGTATAATTCATTGACAAATATATTAACACACGTGTACCTAATACATACATAAATATAGGTACACATTATTCAACGACTATTTTTCTAACTAAGGACACATCGTTCCAAAGTTTTTAAATTGACCTACCTAAGTAGGTATCTAATGTTTACTTAGTCCGTAACAACAATGACTGCACGTGCTGTGATCACCGCTTCGCGTAGTTATTGCGTAATACAAAATGCAAATGGCAATGGTCATTTTCAAGTACCATATGCACACAAGTGAAATTAAATTTGCATCATATTATTATTACAAGTTACACAAAAATCGGCGGTTGTTCGCAGTCTATATAATATTGTTTGTACACGGTTTTTTCAGCTGTAGAGATAATAAACGACCAAGTCCGTTTTGATTTTGTAAATCAAAGATATAGTATTATAATATAAAATGACGTTTAATACTCGTAGTACACGTAATGTACGTATTAGACTAATGGAATTGTTATTTGAAATTGTACATAAAGATCGCATTTTATAATATAACTAGCTATCCCGCCCAGCGTTTACCGTGCCAAACAAACGTATGATAAGAACTCCCCCCGCCCCTCTGAATTTTCTGTTTAATCATTATTACTTAATCGCTATACACTTAAATTTAAAAAAAATAATTTTCAAACATATGAATTAACCATAATATGGTCGTTGAGCAATTAAAACACTTATAAATTATTATTTTGTATCCATCCCAAACTACTGCAAGTTTAAAAAAAAAATTGAACAAAATATTCGATTGTATAGGGAAAAAACAAGTTGGATACGTCATATAAAATATGCAATAAATACATATATTTAAATTTATGTAACTTATAATGTATTTTATATTCATTCAAATATGTAAATAAAAATGATCAAATTCATTCCATTAAGGTAAAATTTGTTTTGTATTCTCGTATAAATAGGTACTTACATTTTTTAATAACAAAGACAATACCAAATTTATTATAATTACTTATTATTGTAATACTAGACAATAATTAGTAGTATTGCGCAATTGCACAATACAATTGATTGCCTAACAACATGTATTAATATTGTGAATACAATAGTGTAATACATTTTAGTAATACATGTACCTTTTATGTAGAATTTATATGATTTTTTTTTGATAAAAGTAGTTCAGAATTGTGTATGATTCTTGAAATCATAACACATTATTCTATATTAAATTTATATAGTTCCATGACATTGGTTTATTTCAAAATTTTATAGTGAACATCACCTTGGGTACTTAAAGTTAATACGTTTACGTTGAATATTATATAGATAATAAACATATTAATTACAATAAGTTATATTATGAATATTATGATAATATAATACTGGACTATAGACATTAAGATTTGAGAGAAGAGATTCGTTTTATCATAGGTATATTAAAACTTCAAAATTAACGTTTAAGCAATTCATTTTGTAATTTGGCCATTCAATTGCCGCAATATACAATTTTTTTGGAAGCACCGATAGCCTATAGGTAATTCACATTTTAAAGTTTAATTGGGTAGTTGATTAAAAAAAATATACTTTCATTGATTAGTACCTAACTATAGGTATATAAAAGTTAGATAATACTTAAAATGTCTATATTTAATAAAATCACAATCGAGTATAGGTAACCAAAGAAACTTACATAACGATATTCTTTCAAGGTTCATCATCATATTTTGACGTACGTAATAAGTGGATTTAGCTTATTAAACAGTAATTTCAGTAACCAACCATATGTCTGTAGATTATAATACTTTCGATACCCAACAGAGATATTTATAACCATTATTTTAGTTTATGAAAATATGTAGTTATAGTTTTATATCAATCGGATGTCCACATTAGGAGAAAATGACGGAACAAGTTACGCAAAATTAGTTTTAGTGATGGGCATTTGCATAAATAAAGGTATATGTAATCCATTGCATGTAAAATACAACGTCTGTAAACTATCATATTACAATAGGTATAAGTAGTAAAAGTAATATAAGTAACATAGATTAATTTAATTTCATAATAAAATAGTTCTTTATTAATATGTTATAGTAAATCATTTAGTTGGAAATAATTTGTTTTGGTAAAACTTAAATTTAAATTAGTTTTTTTCATCCAAATTAAAATAATATTGAAATAAATAGTGTCAAAGTGTTACACCAATATTAAGCATATATAATTATTCTGTTATCATTTATAATGAAACTCATAAATGGAACTGGTATAAGGATGATATTGTGACATACAAGAATGAACGTTGTGTAGTCTAACCAAGGCATTAGACCGGAGCTAAAATAATAGATTTAACAAAAACTATTAGTTGCATTGTGAGATAGTTTTTCGGTTTCCTTAGGCCAAACATACACGGAAAGAGTTAAAAATAATTTAATAAATATAATTAATATTTGAATAAATTTTTTAGTGGCAGAATGTAAGAGTGAATGGGCTTCACCACTTCGTAATAGTTTTGCAAAAAATATTACGCGAAGAAAAATCAAAAAAAATCTGGTCCTGCTATATCGACAAAAAAAAGGTGGTATTTATTTCATTGAATAATGAAATGTTATTTTTATCAAGTTTCATGATGCAAAAAAACCAAACATCAAGTAATCTGGAAGCATCAGATGATGAAAGTGAGACAACTAATAGCGAAAAAATACTGAAAATCCAAATTTAAATGAGAACGGAAATGAAATTGAAGACGAAGATACTACATATTTGATTGATAAACCAGAAGTACTTTCTGAGCCTGTATTTAAAAAACCGAAAAGAAAATGGAAAAAATAAAGTTCAAAAACAAGTAAATCAGCTGCTTAAGATCCGTATTTATTATTTTTTATTAGTCTTTTACCAGATTTTCAAAAATTCAATGTAAAAATCAGCTTCAGTTAAAACAGTTTATGTTGACAAATTTAAATACCTACATCGAAATCAAGAAGCTCAAGAATCATTAGGTGATGATAAAGCACTATATCATAATACTACACAATATGCACCAATAGGAAAACTCCAAACCTATAACTATACCTTCAGTCCACCCGGATTTTCATCATCATACAGCTCAACATACTGACTTCTTATTTCAAATACTTAATACTTACAGTAAAACCTCTATTAATGGACCCTTCCCAATAGTGGACACTTTTAAATTCCCCGGCAAAAATTTATGTAAATTAGAGGAGTTATAACCCTCTTAATAGTGGATGTCGACACTAAAACCTGGAACTAAAATTAAAAATTACCTCATAAATAGACACAATACACATCATCATATCATAAAATATGACGATATTTCGTCATATTTTACCTAAAGTGGATCAAAATGTAGAAAACAAATCTATAAACGTGTTTTAGATGCAATATTTTAGAAATAATCTACATTAAAGAATATAAAACCAGAAAAAGTCAAAAACTGTTTTAAAAAGTCGGGATTTTTTTCGTCCGATATAGAAGAATACGTAACGGAACATAATAATGATGCAAATTTGAACATATTCATAGAACTTGTACTAAGTACTGTTAAATCGAAGACTATATTTCTATAGATAATAATATTAGATATAGTCAAAAGTAACCTGGACAATTTGGGTGAAAAAAAAATTGAACAACCCGAAGAAAAAGAACAAGAGGAAAAAGAATACGAATCGATATACAATCCAACATTTGAAGAAGTTCGGAAAACAATAAATACTTTAAAAATAAGGTAATAGGAAATAGGTGAGAAGTTGGGAGCGTAGGATAAAAAGGGATATTCAATGGATTTGTACGCAGATTATACATTGTCAACAAAAAGCGATTATGAGCAGAGTTTGGTTACACATATTATGAAAGACTGTAGGTTATATTCACGATTTTCGTCAAAATTTGATATTAAAATTCTTATTAAAAAAAAAAAATACTACATAAAACTCAAATTTTTTTTGTTGGCCACTTCGTATAATGAATCTCCTGTTATATTGTCAAGCATTTCTATTTGTTCCAATATTTTTATCAACAGTGTGTATCTACCAAATAAAAAGACTATAAATACTAAAAAAAAAAAAAAATAGTCCATAAATAGCTTAAAAACAAAGTAACATCTCAGACAGATTTCTTTTCCAAAAAAGTGCTGTAATTAATATTAGAGCAAAAAAAATATTGATAGAAGTTGTTTACAGAAAAAAAAATTCATTGTAACACATGCTCCCACTTACGCTTACATATCCGCTCAGAATCTAAAACTTCAAATAATAAAATCGTTTCGCCGTAATTTGAAAAAAAAATCGCAATTTTTGTCTTGTTTCTTTTTTCTCGATTTTTTGAAAACTACTTTCGTTATTGAAAAATGATTTTCTTTTTCAGTGACTATAATATATTAAAAGAAACAAAATCAATCTCTTATTGTTTTTCGATTGGAGCAATATTTCTGATAGGAAACTATAAGGCAAAAATTAAAAACACTGAAATAGGTAACGCCGTGGTGCGCTATAAATATTTTCTATCTTTCCGGTAATTGTTTTTCTGGTTTTTCTGAATTACTATAAAAAAAACCCTATAAAAAAATCAAACTGGTAAAAATCTCCTTTCAGAATATGTACTACACGTGATACTTCAGAAGATTTTTAGTACAAAAGTTGTTTACAGACAAAAAAAAATACAAAAATACTAAAAAAAAAGTTAATGCCTATTATTTTTGTAGAAAATAGTTATGATTTTTTCAGTTAAATTAAATTAAACAGTATTCAACACGTAGTTGTTTAGTACAAGAGAGAGTCAAAAGTCAAACGGGATTCCAAACAGACAGTTCGCTAATATTTCTTCCGATGACTAACGAAAAACTTGTACATACTGCGCGTTTCAAGGCCTCATATTGTGATGAATATATAATCTAACAAAGAACACTATAATATTATGGAAGGGAGAACGTATACCATATCATATATGCGTAGGTATTATAATATTATAATTGGTTTTGTACCAGTCCAAGACGAGTAGTAAACATACTTATCTGATCATTCCACATTTAAACGCTGTAGGTGCGAGTAAAAATTATTTAATTTTTAAATATGATGTGATAAAATATTTACTTTGATAAATCGGTTTTCAGTTGTTGTTAAACAATAGCAAATGACCAATTTGCAATATAACAATAGTTATCATCCATAGTGCATGTAACGCTCGAAAAAATAAATTAGAAATTTATAAATGCTTAAAACACCATGTTTACTAGTATTTATTTTATAATCGTGATATCGACTAGCATTTTCGGTGTTTATCAAACTGATTTTGCATTGCCTTTAGATCAAGTAGAAGAAATATCCGAATATTCTTACGAAAAATGTTTGTTAATGAGAAAAATTTTCTACGAAGGCCAATGTTGGGAATTACTGTCTAAAGGACCGTGCGATAAGAGTAAGTGACAACAAATATTTTATTAAATAAATATAGTAGACAAATGTAATAAATAGATAAATTTAAACTTCTGCTAAAAAAACGCATACAGAGTGTCCCACGAAGATTTACCCATTGTAATATTATTATTATTAATAATACCTCCGGAGATGACAATGAGAATCGAATTCTGGTTTTTATATTATTCATCACTAGGATAAGGACTACATGTTTTATGTTTTGGTAAAAAATTTAAATAAAAGAAAAGAATGAAGTGTATACACTTTATAGTGTATAGTCAATTAATCGTAATAACAATAATCAATAAGCTTGTTGTATAGTAATAGGCATTTTTCTCTAAACTTTAAAAAATTGTTAAAAAACGGATTTAATGAAGATAAAAAGTTGAAACATCAAAATTTTCAGAAAAATAAACATTATAAAATGACCACTTTCAAATTTTTCAAAAGTAAATGTTTTTTTTATCGAAGAATAAACAATTTATTGCAATATAAATTGTCGTAGTTCTTATCCCTATGAATAATATGAAAAAAAAGCAGATACTGGGAATGGGTGCGGCTACTATTGTAGGTGAGAAGTTGGGAAGTTAGGATACATAAGGTTACTTCTTTTATATCTGTAAGTAATGATAAAATATTGCTGATGAAAGACGAATTCCGAGCGCAGTTCAGTAATACATAATTTGAAGTGCCATAATTTTCATTAATCTAACTTTTCTACGTTTTTTCCCGATTATTATGAAAACTAATATGAAAGTCAAAAAACGACCTGCATCTTTAAAAACAAGATTAATAATTCAACAAAAAAGGTGTCTTGTAGTTTTTTATTTGAAGCCATATTTGTGCTAGAAAACGTGGTAGGTACTTATTTAAAATAACGAAATAGTGAAAAAAATCGAATTTTTTTCCTCGGTTACTAGTTTTTATTTTAAATACAGTTTCGGAGATCAAAAAATAACGTATATATTTTCTAAGTAGATAAAATTTAAATTCAGAAAAGGTGCTACACTTATACATCGTAGCAAGTTTTCTAGATTAAAAGTAGTCTACGGTATATATGTATATATAAAAAAAAATACGATTATAAAACAATTAAAAAAAAGAAAAATTTTCTTTTGATTATTTTGGAAATTTTACCACGTCTAGGTAAGTCCGATATAAGTATTATTATAAAGTTTCAAGTCATCTATGTGTATTTATAACCGAATTACAGCAAAAAATACTTCCAACAATTAAAATTCCTTAAAAACTCAAAAGTTTTGTCGATGAAACCGTAAGAAAGTAAATCAGAAAGGCAACAAAATAAGTGTCTAATAATTTGTCGAATAAATCATTTTCTCCAGTAGAAAACGTCGTTCGTTTTTTATTTAAAAAATGGCGTCGAAAATCAAAAACTTACCTCTTCAAACAAAGTACAATCTAAACAAATTGAGCTTTCAGAAAAAGTGCTATACGTAAATATCGGAACAAGTTTATTATATTTATTGTTTGTTTAATTATTGTCAAACTTAATTTATTCATTTGGTTTTGAATAACAAATTTAAGTTATAACTACAATTAGTCTAGGTTTTTTCTTTTACCAATTATTATTTATTTTGTCGGAAGTCATAATATATGCTATTATTGCCTATTATTTTATACGACCTATATAATTTATCTGGTTCCAGCCAATCAAATCAACAAAATATGATTATTATACATAGGAGTTTTGGACTATTATTTCAAGTTTAGAAGTTAGTCATATTAGGCATATCACATTATGTACTTAATTTTAAAAAAACTCTACATTATTATGAAACCTTTTAAATTTATTGTAATTTTCTATTGTTTTTTAATCTGTTTTAAACCGGTACTATTATACATATTTTTTTTTAATTTAACGGACGTGCGTACAAATTAAAAATAATAAAACCGTATACCATGACATTCAGTAAATATTTGCCGTTTTTTCAATCATTTTCTTTCTGATTTTTCCCAATTATTTAGAAAACTTTTTGTAAAATCAAAAACTGCATCAACTAGAAAAAATTATTTTCAGTGAAGGTGTTACGCTTATTACATCGGAGTAATATTTCTTTTCTAAAAGTTGATTACAGACACACACATAGATCCCTGTCTACGCTCCGAATCTAAAATCAATGTGAATTCATCTACAAAAAAAACCTTAAAAAATTATTCAAATAATGCGATGACGGAATTTATATTATTTTTTGGCGATTCCAAAATTTTGAAATCAACTACATTAAAAATCACAAAAGACCTTTTTCTTTAATATTTCAATTATATATTATAAAACTCACCTGAGCCTAACAATGGGATATGAGAGGCTGACACCATTGACTAATTTTTATACTTATTAAACGTATCTTGAATATTATATTAGGTATTCAGGTGTCAATATTTATTCTACTCTCCCCAATTAGATTGAACCTTATTTATGACTCTGGTGAAAAGAAAACAATGTTATGTAATTCATGTAATTAAATCTCTATTAAAAAAAAAAAAAAAAAAAAAATAATTTGCATATATCTATTTAACGTTTTCAACAATTTTCGTCAAAATATAAATATACAAATCAAATTGGCAATTTGATGGCCCACAAAAAATCAAGTTATTAAATGTCATGTTATCATAACTCATAATCTATAACATAAATATGAAATTAAGTTATAATAAGAGTTAACCTCGAGAGCCAATGAATATGAATACATTTGAAATCTATGAATAATAAGGAAACCAATTTTTTATAGTTTATTTACGAATAGGTTTATAAAAAAACAAACAAATACGATTCTGAAAAAAGAAACCACTTTATATAATAGAAACAACATAATATTGTATGTATATTGTAAAAAACAATAATACTTGGTTTTTGTTATTCACTAAAAAAACATAACCCGAGTAACATTTTTCTCATACCGTTGGATCGTAGGTACAATATTAATAATTGTTCACAATTGTTTCAGAAATATATATTTTAATGAAGGCACTTAAAACAATTATTTTAATAATAATCGTATTAAGGATACATTTATTTTTTGTAATTACATAAAATGTTGCTGAAGTTTTTGTCTCCTGGCCTTGTAGAACAAAAACAATTACCTATTTGTTACTATTTGTTACAGTTTTATAAGATGTATAGACAAAAATGGAATTATTAATTTATTTCGAGTTAAAAGTAAAATCCATAATGCATAAATAATTGATCCATGTTCCGCACATATGAAACACAATGGAGGCTAGACTATTGATCTATATCATGCATGCACAGTGGCATATTAAATGGGGGGGGGATTAATTAATTTCTATGAAATATATATTTTTGGTCAATAATAACGGAAAACTAATATACATATTATACAATTGTAAATACGTATTCGAACAATTTGTCCGCCAAATTAAAATAAACACTGGCATTTTAAAATGCCTTTGAAATTTGTTTTCTGTTATTCTGTTTAAAGATATTAAATAATAATTTAATTTAACATTTTGGGGGTATTTGAGTATTTCCAAGAAAATTGTGTAGATATGAGGGACGTACAGTGCGACTATTGTCACTATTTAATATTGCCAATTTTAATTCATAATCGACAATCGTTGTTTTTGCTGCACTGCAAGTGGTAGTAGGTATTTTTATTTTATGCTCCATCAAGCGGAAGGAACTATGAAGTACATTATTCCAATTTTTTTTTATCCTTAAATGCATATTTATTTTGAGTTTTATTAGATAAAGATGAGTATATTAATATATTATTATGGGTGATTTTTCAATTACGTTTGAAGTATATTAACTATGGATAAGTGGATAATAAGAAAACTTAAAACTTGAAAAAACAAAATACATAATACCTTATATTAGATACATACACATTGTATTATAAATAATCTATTAAAGTTTACGATTATGTCTTGTTTTGTTCATGTTATCCTATTTGTTTATTTAAAAATTAGCCCTTCCAAAAAAAAAAAAAAAGTCTGGGTATAAATATGCCACTGTACCCGAAAACTTTGTTAAATAATATTGTTGTAACTGAACTGAAACAACTACTTCCCACGCAACAATTATATAGGTTAATGGAAACGTGAACAAATTTCCAAGTTTCTTTAAGTGGGTGTAATGTGTGGCGTACGTAGGAAGGTATTAAAGAAATTTATCTACCCAGAACTTAATTGGGAGGGGCACGAACGAGTTAGTGTCGGCCACGTAAAATATTCAAATTTTAATAGAATTTTTTAAGCTGTTTAGCGTCAATGTACTGTAAAAAGTACCTAGTAGCAAAAACTTGTGTTTTTCTAATATATTTCTTCAACGAGTCGACAAATTCGTGAAGATCATTTGCCACGTCCGTACAATAATCATTGAGGTAGCTCCCTGTGTATATATTAACACAATGCGGTATAACAGAATCCTCAATGTTCAAGTCCTTAAATTTTTTTAAATCTGTTTTTGTGTAAAAATAAGAAATTATTATCAATATGGAAAAAATGGTGTACACGTTTCAATGTGTTTGAACAATCCTATGCAGAAAAACGAAGCGATGGTCGTTTGCACGAAGGCAATAATTTTAACCAAAATATAAACAGTCCGTTTGGACGAATGAAATTATTCTTACCAGAGATAAAAAAACTGGTTTATAGTCAATATCGTTTCTGATTAATATTATTATTATTATTATCGTCCAATATTATCGAAGGCAAGATTGCGTACTAACAGTTCCTTGTCGATATTTTTATATTATTAGTTGTAATGTAACATTTTAAAATTCGGTTTTACATTTAAAACTATACTTGTTTAAAGTTACAATCGACTTACAGACATTTAAAGACAATGGTGATAAAATTGTCGAGTTTTCTAACTATTAACGGTAGATATACACAATTAGAATGAGAACCTATCATATGGCTATTTGGCGCGATCGAAATTAGAAAATCCGATTCCGAATATCTAAAGAGGTACCTAGTTCTTTGAGTTTCGAGATGTATTAATGATCAAACATCATCACAATCAGATAGGTAAATTCAAATATATATACCTTGTACACTTACATACTATAATTTATTTATTTAGGAACGATGATGTGTCATACCAATATCCATTAACTACTTTTAACGCTACGATTTTATGCAACTGGAATTTTTTTTAATAACCGCTGGCTATCCATAGGGAAAAATGGGATAGTGCCACGGGGCTCCGGAACTCAGGGAGGGCTCGAGGTTTCTAGGAAAATTTCTTAAATTACTTCCTTAAAATAATTGCAAATTTCGGTGTATTTAATAGTGAATGTTTCAAAATCTTTCGAGTCACAATCATAAAATAAAATAATAATACACACAGTATTATGCAATGAACGATGTTCCCGTCATGTACATTATAAATTAACTATTACCAAATACATAATAAATGGTAAAATAGTCAATTGACATTATTATTGTACTCTTGAGTACAAGTGGTTCCCCGCCGCCGAAGATAATATCTGTCGATAATATCTTCAAGTGTGAATACGCTCTACGATTTGAATAAATAGCTTATGATTTTCTTTAATGCAGCCGTATTTGTCCGGCATAATCGGTAAATCCATAATAAATTTTAAAAATAGAAATATTAATTTTTTTTTTTTTTAAAAGGAAATCAAAATACAAATTTCCTGATATTTTTATGAAGTTTATAAAAATAATAAAAATTGTCTTAAATGTCAAAAACTGCTATACAAATTTAAAAAAGTTCTAAAAATACGAAAAAATATATAAAATAAAAGTTTCATATTTTAATTATTTGATGAATGCAACGGGTTTGGGAATTATTGCTTTAGGACATTCAGAAAAATAATAACACGCGTCAGAAGTGGATTTTGATATCAAAAAAAAAAGGTGTCAAACTGATGTAGGTATTTTATTTTGTTAAACAGAAGATGTAATAGGTACTCATACACTAAAATACTAAAATCTACGAAATATAATCACACAAATTAGTTTAAATTAGATATAAATGAATCGAGAAATCGGGGTAGTGAATCAAAAAAACATAATTATAAACGAAGAGACACTATAGATACATTATAGTAATCATGTACATTTATAGGCTCTCTTAAGTCTGTATTAAACAGTAAGGCAAATTGAAATTATTTTTAAAATAATCATGAAACCATTTCGAACACGTTTCTGAACAAATTCGGACAAAGGACTACACCAATTGTTAAGTTGATTATTGTTGTTATTTTTTTATTTTTGTACCTATACCAGATCAGTGGTTGGTGTTGGAATGGTCGAACGACGACCGTGAACAGCAGGAGCCGATGAAGGCCAGGTGCGCGAAACGTCGGTGCAACGAGTCGGATGTGTATTGGCCTCAGGACGGGTTTTGCTACAACGCCGAGACGGCCCGCCATCGTCGACTTTGCCCGGGCGCGGACACAGAGCTGGCCGCAGACGAATTCGGTGACGGCCACTGTAAGTGCCGGAACGGCGACCGAGTACCGTACGTGCGGGTCGCCCCCGCCGACCGCAACTACTACTACGGTGACGAAGATTCGAAGCCGTGTTATCCGCTTTACGCCAAGGGGCCGTGCCCACGGGGTCAAGTGCTCATTCCCGTCGGATTGGGGTAACACCGTTTTCTAATGTTAATTATATTTACAATCCCGAGGCTTTTTAAATATCGACTTTAACTACCTATCTATATGCATCGAAATATCATTTCAGTCTCGGTTGGCGGTGAGGATAATAAGGAAACATAGCATAACTATAGACAGTGGCGTGCGCATCAGAAGGTGAAGTTAGGGTGTCAGTCATTTCCCCCCATCCCCCCATTGGCATACAAATACAAAAATCATAATATGAATAATCGGTGTCTGAGCGTTTGCGGTATCGACCTTTATGGTGGCACTTGCGGTCACTCAGTTATTTTTTTTTTACCTGCTATCTTTCTTTACACGGACATTCGTGTTTCTGTATATTTTCATAGTTAAGATTCGAAAATGTATTGAATTCTATTGGTTTTACTATGATGTGTGTTCAAACAAGAGCATAGTTTAGGCCTACATATACAGGCAATCATAATTTATTTTTAATTTTTAATATTACATAGCTTAGAGTAAAATAAAACTTTCCACCTTTTGTATTATTTAATTATTTTTATATAAGCACACAATTAGATACGACAACTTAATAAAACCTTAATAATTAATAGACCTCGACCAACATTTTAAGCTGTGTACAAATGTCTTATGTCAGAAGCTAATATTTGATCGACATTTTTTTGAACATGAAGGAAAAGAAACGAAAAAATTGTTACATGAAAATAGACACCAGAATAGACAAAACACTGAAATCATACCAAAATAACTTTAAAAAAAATAAAAATAAATCGGAAATTCAACATTAATTTGTCTTTTTAAATGGAAGACGTGGTTAACCGCCTTTATTATAGGTATTACCCGATAGTTTGAATGTAAATATTAAGACCAATACGATGAGGCGAAAATGTCACAAATGTAGACGGAAGGAAGTCGGAGGTAAGGAATATGCATAAAATAAACACGATGAATATAGTATTTTTGAGGTCATACTAATTTATTATAAAGAAAGCCATATGACGATAGTCAATATTTATTTTTTGCAAGAACGGAATTGTTTTATTTTATTGCTAGGTATTTCCATTGTGTTTACTCAAACTATTCATTATTGTAGTTATTAGTGTATTACAATCATGGACCTAACGATAAATTCATGTCGAAAAATATTTATAATATCGACACAAAAATAATATTATATAAAAAGTAGTTTTCCCATTCTATTTAATGCTGTGTATCTAAAATTGTTGTTTCTTTCGAAACTAAGTGAATTTTACCATCGTGTAATTATTACCACGTAGTTCTCGTTATTCTCATTTAACCCCAAAGTGCGTTTTCAACTCATGTTGAAAACCAACTAATACAAATTTAAAATATGACCAAATTTGGTTTCACAGGAAAAACACGTCGAATGTACAATATTATGACGATTTTGTTGTTTTTGCACTTGTTGCGCAATATATATAATTAAAAATATTGCCAGAAATTATTTTAAAATAATTTTTCAAAAACGTATTAAGGAGACATAACTAATAGTAGTAGCGCGTTTTCTTTTTTGAAATATTACGAGTGTAATAGTATCCGTATTCATGCAGCCATTTCAGCAAATTATTTCTGTAATAAAATAATATTTAATATTTAAATATTTGCCATCGTGAAATAAATAAATTATAAACATGAATAATAACTATTTAAATTAATGCATATTAATAATATATCCTATAAGATATATATCCCGTAGGCAAGTAACGAATATATTTTTTAGAATATTAAAATAAGGCGGGGCTACGATTATGTACGGAAATTAAAATGCGCGTAATATTATTATTACATAACATACTAGTAATGTCGGTATTTTTACGTCGTGTGCTGCCATTAAGTCAACGCGTTTTCTTTGGGGAGGGATGGAGTATGCAAATAATATAATCGGTATGCGACTACAAGAAGATAACACGACGTACAGAGTGGTGTATCGGAGTACCTATGAGCAATGATAAAATAATACAAAATTACGAATATACAGCATGATGCACTAGCCAAAACAAATTCTACTAGAAATCTTGCTCAGAAGTATCAAGTAAAGCACATTTTCTGGAAAGGAATTTTACTGGGGTGATATTTAAGGACATTTTTTTATTTTTACGAGGGGGAGCGATAGGGGCGATTGCACCCCTGTTGAATTTGTTTCACGAACAGGTTATTATTTATATTTTAATTATTATTATTATAATCAAAAATGTAAACAAAAAGTTAATTCTTTTAGTGCGGAAATGGTTATCAACGATTTGTTAAGAGATTAGAGGTATTGTGGTTACCATAAACTGTTGGTTATAATCTTAGATCATATAATATGAATAAAGCTATTGCATGATAAACGATTATTACGAGTTAGACATCATTATTAACGAGTGCTAAGGGGACTGATGTCTATTGCGCATGCGTATCAATACTCGTTGCATTATCATTATACCACCACCAGACAGTGATGGTAGGTCACGGGTACAAGATAGTTGTCAAAAAATGTATAAGGATAGAGAAACAATAATATTTGTATTAGGTATGTTACCAACGTAAAGAAAAAAAAAATTTGCCTATGCAATAACTAAACGTTTAATGCTCGTAAATCTTGTAAAATAAATTATGTATCAACTAGTGCAGAGGTTCTCAAAGTATGGGACCGCGAAAGCTTCGTGGGGGGGGGTGAAAGAAAAATTTTAAAAATCAATATTGTATTGATAGGACAGAAAAAGATTTGTGGAATTGGCGTAATAATAATCGCGTCCTGTACAGTGTGTACAATATCTTTATAGATCACATACAGACAGCAACAATTAACACGAGCCATTATCTATAAAAGGTTTGTTGTTTTATGGATAAACCACTATTGGCCGTCATTCTATTTTTCAACATACGCAATATGGGTGGTGTTCAAGGTTTCCGTGGCGAGTATATAACGTTGACAGTTTGAGGTCGTGTTTGATACCTTGTGCGTGTGAGTACGTCTATGTGAATAAATTTTGTTTATTTCTATTAATTATATTAATGTATTCTGATATTAGACCTACTTGTTATTCGTAGTACGTTTAATAATGAAAAGATTTTTGATTAGTGATCGAACTAGTGCTTCAACATCAAGCAGCAATAATAAAATTAAGAGGGATGACGTCAGTAGTGTTAACACCGAATCAGCCCCCGGTACTCAGTGTCAAACTCAAAATCAACAAAATTAAGAAGGTATGACAAAAATTATTTATCTCTCGGATTTATTAAAACTACTATAAATGATGAAGAACGGTCTCAGTGTGTAGTATGTTTAACTGTATTAGCATCTGATAGCATAAATCCTAATAAATTAAGAAGGCGTTTAGAAACAAAACATACTGAATTAGTTAACTAACCTAAAGAATTTTTTGATCGAAAGTGTAGCAGCTTTCAATCTACTTAACAGATATTTGAAAAACGAACACTGTCCCTCCCAAAGCTCTTTTATGGTTGCTCATAGAATTGGCAAATGCAAAAAGTCTCATACAGTAGGTAAAACTCTTATATTACCAGCAGCTGTTGATATTGTTTCTACAATGTTTGGAGACAATTAAGCTCAACAACTAAAATCCATACCTCTTTCCAATAGCGCATCATAGCGAATATCAGATATTTCTGAAGATATCAGTGAACAATTATTTGAAAACTAAAAGATAAAGTTTTTGGGATTCAATTGAATGAAGCGACTGATAAACTGATAAGATTATAAGAGAAGAAATGGTTTTTTGCGAATCTTTAACCACCAACGCTACTGAAGAGTGTATTTTTGGTATTATTGACAATTTTTTTAATAACATGATATGCAATGGAATAAATGTATTTGTTTGTGCAAGGATGGAGCCAAAGCTATCGCAGGTCAGTAAACTGGATTTTATGTGGGTAAGAGATTGAAAAAAACCTTCAGCAGAGTTGTACTGCGATACACAGTTCCTTTTGAAGCTAATTTATCTTACAGATATTTTTTCAAAACTAAATGTGTTGAATAAATCTCTGCAAAAAGAAAAAACCGATAATCTTATATGGGAAGAAAAGATACAAGGCTCCATTAAAATTATGTTATTAAGTTATTACTGTGGGAGGCTGCTTTAAAAACACCGGACCTAACAGTTTTTCCAACGTTACTGAACATGATGTGAAAATTTGAGTGTCAAGGAGATTCCTCAAAAACTAACAACATGTTTTATAAATCATTTGCTTTATCAAATATCTCTCTCTCCTCATTTCACCTAACTCTGTGATGAAAAAAATCAAGCCCACCAATTACATTAAAAGTAGCCTATTGATTAAAACCTTTTATAATAAATATATTTTATTTCAAAATAAATTTGTAATGTGAATATCAATATTAGTCTATACTTGTTGATGTTTTTAATTTTTTAGTACTCTAAATATGACTATTAAAATTATTTTTATGAGGGAGGCTCACGTCTGGGGTTTACCAAAGTGGGGGGACCTGGCCTGAAAAATTTGAGAACCTCTGAACTAGTAAATCCACTTTGGTTATTTATAAATATTAATGAATAATGATCCAGATTCAGAATTAAAACTTTAATGCAATCATCACAAATTAATTTAGTTGTTAGTTTACGAACAATGAAGCCAACAATTGAACAATTTAATAATATCATAAATGACTTGCTGTAAAAAAGTGAATTGATTATTATTCTTAAATACTCGTAAATTAATGTCTTTGTAATTGCTCGAATAGATGAGAAAAATATTTCTAGATATTTTGGCTTTATAAATTCTAACCTAGCAACATGTAATTACGATATAATCTCCCTGCTTGTCTATACATGATTGCCATCGTTTCGGGACCGCATAGGACGCCATCTTTGTTGAGTTCACGGATCCTTCGGCTCACTTCTTCATTTAGTATATCTAAGTTGGGAAAACGTTTCCCTCTAAGTGGCTTCTTCAGTTTTGGAAATAAATCAAAGTCCGGGGAACTTAAATCCGGCGAATACGGTGGGTGTTTGAGGCGTTCCCATCCATATTTCTCTAAAAGAGCGACGACTGGTACTCCGATATGCGGCCGCGCATTATCGTGCAATATGGACACACCATTTTGTAACATTCCTGGTCGCAATTTTTTGGCAAGGAATGTTTTGTAGTAATCCCCGGTTACACTACTGCCAATTGGAACTCGATCAGTGACAATTATCCCAAGTTTATCGTAAGCAAAAATCATCATTTGTTTTACCTTTGTTTGCTGGCGACGAACTTTTTTTTGCTCTTGGTGATGTTATTCCCTTCCAAATATTGCTTTGAGATTTTAATTCCNCTGGTCGCTTTTTACGGATTTCTGGTCGCAATTTTTTGGCAAGGAATGTTTTGTAGTAATCCCCGGTTACACTACCTCCAATTGGAACTCGATCAGTGATAATTATCCCAAGTTTATCGTAAGCAAAAATCATCATTTGTTTCACCTTTGTTTGCTGGCCACGAACTTTTTTTGCTCTTGGTGATGTTATTCCCTTCCAAATATTGCTTTGAGATTTTAATTCTGGCTCAAAATCACGGATCCAAGTCTCATCTATTGCAATTATACGATCAAGAAACGTTTCTTTTTCATTTTCGTAGCGTGAAAGGAGTTCACGGCTGATGTCTTTGCGTGTATCCTTCTGTTCCGGTGACAGAAAATGAGGGACCCAACGTGCTGCAATCTTTCGTTTCTGTAGAATTTCCGTTAAAATGCGGTGAACACTTGATTTTGAAATACCTGTTTCATTCTCTATCTCTCTCACCGTTATTCGTCGGTCTTCATCGAGTAGAGTTGCGAGANCGAATTGTTCTCACTTTCGTTATCGCTCTCACACATCATCATACTTTACTAAAAACAACTAAAACTGAAAACGCACGTGTTCGTTAGACTTCAAACTACAAACTGATACTAAAATCAGCTGATAATATCACATTGCAAGACAGCTAGAGCGCGCTGTGCAATTACTTTTGGGACAACCCTCGTATGATCAATCAAATGCTTCATTGTACAAAAAATTATTTTAGAAAAAAAATCGATGCACTAAAAAATAAATACATTATTAATACTTTTGTTTTTCTGATAATGAAACTGTCTACACAAACAATTTGTTGTTCAACATTTGCAAATTTAAACTGAATCAGAAAAACAATCTCTTAACAATTTTCCGACAACTACTAATATCCCGTATGTTAAACGTGATTACACAAATTCGACCAACAGTGAGTGATATACATTTTACGCATGCGCATTTGTCTCAACTCCCCTTCGTTATGCTAGTTTCAAATATTTAGTCAATAGCTCCATCCATAGTATATGATCTAAGGTTGTAATAATTATATTTTGATTGTCTATAGTATAGACAATCAAAATTATTCAGACTTCCAAAATCTTCATTTCAAATGGAAATTATTGATTTGCAAGAAGATATCTCATTGCAAATGAATAAGACTTCGTCTACTGAAGATTTTTGGATAAAACAACATGCAGAGTTGGATAAATACACGAACTGTAAAACCTTTGCCATAAAATTAGCTACTATATTTGGCTCCACTTATGTATGTGAAACTTCGTTTTCAAATATNCACCTTGAAAACACTTTACGCATCAGTTGTTCTCCAAGAGTACCAGATTTAAAAAATTAGCTCAAGAAAGGAAATGTCATTTTTCTCATTAAATTTTGTTATTATTAGTATGAATGTATTATTACTTTATAAATAATTAAATATTAAATACATTAATGATAAAATTATGTTTTAGATTTTTTTGGCCCTCGAAATTTTTTTTTTTTAAATATCTGGCCCGCCGTATAAATTAATTGCCGACCCCTAGTCTATACCATTATAATCTGCACTCGGTAATCGTAGTCCGCCTTATTCTATTTTCGGGGAATGATACCATAGAACCGTTACAACTATATAATACTTAGATAGTTTGATTTAAATATTTAATTGATAATTTAGTTAATTATTTGATTTTTTTCGTAAATACGTCCATCTTTTTCACTTTGCACTAGATGTAATTCCTTTGGCTGTATATGGTTATCTTTTCTAACATATTTTACATTAGGCTAAAAATATGGTTGAGAAGTCAAATGTCCCAGAAAAGACTTACAGGTTTGGATTTAATGAATATGCATAGATATATTGATCTATATCTATTAATATTATATCAATATAATATCAATATTTCTCACCCACAGTGTCTTTTTTTTTTTCATTTTTCAATTTCAATCTTCCAAATTTAAAAATATTAGATTTTTTAATGTACATTATTTATACCAGTTCCAAATGCAAATGAAAAAATTGACTTACAGACGTATGGACTAATTAAAATAAAACAGTAAAAGCAACGATAGTGAAGACACTTTGAAAGGATCCTGTATAAAATTCCGTGTTTTTTTAATAGGAAATCAGTTATTATATTAAAATAGATCCATTCTTGCATCAAATATAATACATCGTGATCATGAACATCAACAACCAATTTGTTTTGCAGGGTTAAACTAGTGGCGTAATTTTGGGGGCGAGGAGGTCACTTATCCTCTTACATTTTTTTGGAGGGGCGAAAGTATTATTTTCGTCCCCTTTTTAGATAATTCAACAGTACAAATCTTTGAATCTTCTTAAGTTAAGAAAGAATGCTATATACTTAACATATAATATTAATAATGTTTTTCCTCAAACTATTTTATAAAAGTTTAAATTTATTTTAGGTTTCTCTTGTATAGTATTATATTGATATATCGTCAATATTATTGCAATAATCCCATTATTTGGGCCACACAAATAATCCAATATTAAATCCTGAAGTATAAACACGATTTAATATTATTATCTTTAAATCATGATTAGGACTACAAGAAGGATAGGTTATTTTTAGATCAATAACAAATTACAATAATATAATAACTTAAAGTATACATAATTATTATTTTCTTACATACGTGTATTGCAACATTACGTTGCGCTTTACTGAAAATTAATAATATTCTGTACTTACTCACCATTGTGTTGCCATTTGTTAATAATGATTAATTAAGTATTTAAGTACATTAAAAAAAAAAAAGTCCAATAAACGACAGTTTATATTGTTCAATTCCATGTCATCATAATCTTACCATGCTTACCATGTTTAATCGAATAAATTCGAGAAAAAGTATAATTGGTTCAATCAATAATCAAAATATATTTGGTTGTAGTGATTACCGACAAAAGCTGCTACATATGAAAGAACATTCCCACGCTTAAAATGTTTAAAATGTTATTACAAAATCGATTACTACAAATTCAAAGATTATTGATTGATTTTGATAATATAATTGAAAAATTTGTTTTAAATTGAATAGGAGGTAATAGAGAGTTAAATATTATTCTTTGATTTTCCAAAGTTTTCATAAAAATTGGTAAAAACCGAAAAATACAAAAACGAAAATTGACAAATTTACAGCGTTAAGATTTCATAGTTTCAAAAAATTACGCTTTATGTTTTCTACCAAAAATTTACTCCAATCGAAAAACGGCAAGATACCTTTTTTGTTTCATTATTAATCTAGTTGGCGAGTTCAGAAACCTTTTTTTTTATTTTCAGTGTAGTTTTATTAATAATAGAGCAAAATCAGGAAAGTTTACGTACATAATAGTTTCATTATTGTCAATTTTGTTGAAATTATGACAATTCTTAATAAAGGAAAGGAAATGATACATAATTTTCATTGCAGACAATATCAGATTCACATATGTCGAAAATATATCAGATAAAACGAAATTTCGTTTTTCCGATGTAAAGGGTTTTTCTGGCTTTCAGTTCGTCGTCCATCGTCACATACGACGTTTAAATATATGGAAAACGATGAAATTAAACTTATAGAATCCGAAAAAGAAATACATTCAGTTCTTTCACATATTGTCATTGAAATATTAAAATAAACTCAAATGCAGACAATATCGATTATACAATAGGTTAATAATGGGGGAAAAAAAAAAAAAAAATGGTAAACAAAAGACTTAAATAGAAATCAACTTAATCGTATTTTAAACGCTTATGACGAGTACAAAAGCCATAATAATCTAATTCAATATTTAAGAGAAGTAGATTATACATTTCAGTGAATTCAAATTTAGGCATTTTAAAATAATTAATTTACCATTATTTAATTATACTCATTACCTATATTTTATTATTCCATATTAATTATTATAGAACTGTACTGGATATTTATTAGGTATATGGGCATATGGTGAAATTAATAAATTTGACGTTGCATACATTTTCATATGCAATCGTATTCATTTTTTATTTTTCTTGACGATATTTTTCAACCCAACTACAAACGTACGCAGCAATTGTGTTTCACTCAACAATTTCGTATTCCAGGTACGGAGACTGTACGGTAGACCCGTGCGGCAAGGAACGCAGTCACGGACTGCAGCTGAACGATCGGACGACCGCGAAGTCGCCCGCGCACCGATTACGTTGGCGGCGTCAGTTGCAGCTGGTGCCACGTGTGACAGTGGTCCCGTGGACGGACGGCAGGTGTTACGAGTTAGGCACGCAGGGCCCGTGCGCAAGCAACGAGAAATTAACCGTGCTGCTGTCCGCGATGCGACCAGGCTGCATCAAGCCGGCCACCGTCCTGGACCTGTTCTCCAACAAGAAGTCAACGTCCCCTCCTCCGTGTAAAACCGATCACCGCGGTGAGTGCGTGGACGGCGTGGACGTGCAAATAGACGACCCTTCGTTCGGGTTCGAGGCACAGCTTCGGGAGTCCGCCAAGAGACGCGCCGAACGGAACAAGAGAAAGAACAGCAAAACGCCCTAAGTACGCGCGTGTTCGGTTCGCTGCAGAGATAACCTGCGTAGCGATACGATGGGCATGCGTACGGACGGACAAACCCAGTGCTTGACTTTGGGTGAAAACAATAGGGATCCTATAATATCACCTGGGTCGAACATTAAACGTTCACTACCCACTCCCTAGTCAGCCCTTAAGAGAAAAAAAATATTATCACGAAACCGCAAAATAAATCGAAATAATTCACAAAGCAGGTAATACGATTCCCTAACAAAATTAACAATACATTTCAAATCGTAAAATATACACTTTTTTATTTAATTAGACAATGGTTTATTAACAAACAGAAAATGTATTTTTAAAATTCAAATTAACATTTTTATCTGACAAAGGGATGGGTCGTCTGTTCATTGATTAAAATTCAATACAGTCCTATGCGCTCCATTAAAAAACAAAATTAGAAGTATGCTAAATGAAATATGTAAACAATTAGGCGGAACACAGAAACTTCCGAGGCCCTCTTTCCGAACCGGGGCGTAACGGGGAGGGGAATTATAAACACCCCAAAAGGACTTTTTTGGAATATAATTGCAATTGAAACAAAAGTTGATTTCAATTTTTTTTTTTATCATAGTGTATAATTTAAATACTTCACCCCCCCCCCAATCTAAAAATATTTTCCTGACAAAAACTCAAGCACTGGATATACATGTTTATTTTATATACACTAATTAAGCCTCACTCCTCAGCATAATGGTAAAGTAATGTAATAGTAATATTAGGATTGCGTAAATAATTATTTTGTAAAAAAAAACAAAAAAACGTAATAATAATAATTAGTATTATTATCTCTGAACGAAACTCGGTTCCTAGTTTTTGTTTTATCGTGCGTGGTTAAATACTTGTTACCATGAGTTATCAACTCGTGCGTACATACTTTTAGATGAGGTGAATAGGTATTAGATGCTGATTAATGATATTGGTATGATTTTAAAATTTAATTTAATATAATAAACAAACACAAAAAATCAGGTTCCCTTACACTTAAATCCTGAATGTAGCTATACAATTTTATAAATTTGTTCGAAATAACAAAAACTGTAAATTTTTACTTTTCCCAGTTATAATAACTGTCATCAATATTGATTTTATCCATATCAAAATTTTTACATTCCGATAATTTACCAATATGCCATTTTTATTCAACGATTATTTTTAAATTACATTTTTGCGGTGTACTTATTGAAAAAAAAAATATATATGTAAATTGCTTTTATCATTTAAATTGCTGCTCACGAATAGTAAATTGTTTTTTTTTTATTTTGTAAATAAGATTCAAAGGTACTATAACACCTGTACAAATAAAATTTAAAGATACGCCCACGAAAAAAAAATATTTTTGTTTGATCGTGGTTGATGATGTAAAGTTCAACAATTTATTTTTTTTTGTTATATTTATTGTGCTTTGACATCAATAGAGTATCAACCAGTACATCAATCAGATACATTTGTCTTTTTATGTTAAGTAGATTATTTTTCTTTTTTTTTTCAGGAGTCAACATTTTTTTAACTTGCATCATTTTATAATATATTAAATAAACTAAAAATGAAAATACCGTCATAAACACTGTTGAATTATAATTGTATTATATACTTGATAAACTGACAACAAATGATTGTATGAACGTTTTCTCATA